ATTTTTTATATATACTGAACTATTATTATATTAAATACACAGTAGTAGAAGTATTAGATATTTATAATTATTGACTGAACACTTCATCTAATATTTATAATATTTTTTATATAAATTTACTTCAATTCATAGTCAAGAATTTATTCTTCTTGTAAAAAACTTTCAATTGATAACTATCTATTATTATAGAAGAAGACAATGAATTCAAATGAGAAATTGAAGCAATTCTCAACAATAGAATCAATCATTATTATTATAAATATTTTATTAAATAAATAGAATATAATTATTCAATCTGAGAATTCACATTTATTATAAAGAATATTATTATACTCAACATCTACAAATTCTCACTCACTTCAGTAGAGAGAGATAATATAACAGATTAATATTTATTAATAGTTAATTTACACAATCAACTCTCTACTGCACACTTATATACTTATATATATTTATAAAGTTCTCTCATATCTTCTTATAATTTTATTTTATAATCACATATATCTTAATACTCTAATAATCCTTTCATTTTATACTTCTTCAGAATATAATCTCTGATATTTCTTCTGCTTTAATTCTTTTATCTATAAAAATTCTTTTATATAATCTCTTTCTCTGATTTTCTTTCTCTTTCTTTTTTTAATTAATTTGTAGACTGTTATCAGAATAGTATTAAATTCATTGATAGTGTTATTGAAACAGATTATATAAACTGCACAGATAGTACAAACAATTTAATCTATAACATTGATAACATCTATTTAATTGATAATATATCTGTTATAAATTGTATAAAAAGATTCTTATAGATAAGAGAATCAGAGTAGAAGAAATATCAGAGATTGCACTCTGAAGAAGTATAGAGTGAAAGAATTATTAGAGTGTTAAAATGTATATGATTGTGAAGTGGAATTATAAAAAAATATGAGAGAACTTCATAAGCACATATAAGCACATGAGTATATGATAGAGGGTTGATTGCATAAGTTAACTATCAACAGATGCTAACTCATCACACAATCTAAACTACTCTTTGAACAACTTCATGCAGATATTATTCAGAGATCTATCTATTGCTATAATGAAGAAAGATGGCTCATATATTTTATATGTGATTGCTTTTGATTTCATATTGCAGTAACAGCCTTGAGAAAGTCTGATATAAGAAAGGCTCTCAACAAAGTTTTAAGATGAATTAAATATCAATTTGATTGTGAAATAAAGATTATACAGATCAATAATGAGAAAGAAATCAAAGAATCTAATATCTTTAAGAACTGAGTAACTGAACTAGATCTGAAGATTGAATACTTTTTGAAATATATTCATAAGTAGAATGATGCTGCTGAATACACAGATGCTATTATAATCACTAAAGTAAGAACTCTTAGAATAGAATTCTTACTGTCTTAATCACTATTCTTTGAAATAGTAATAGCTGCTGTTTACTTGCTGAATAGAATCTCTATCAAAATACTAGAATAAAAATCATCTCTCTGAATACTAGAAGAATATCTTTATATTGAATAGTATTCTTATACTCACTTATATACTTATAAATATTAAGTGTATACAAAGATTCTCAATAAGATTCTCAATCAAAATTGATCACAGAAGCTTGATCTCAGAACTTATATTGAATATTTTATAAGTTATAATTCTATAAACATTGTTAGAATTTGAATTCCTTATCTAGACAAAGTGATAAGAGTAAGAGATGTTATATTTAATGAGAATAAACAATATAATCTGAACAAATCTCATATTGAAAAACAGCTGTGAGATTAGATTACTCAAGAAGTTGAGTTCTTGAATATTGAAATCAAGAAATCAGTGATTGACACTTCTCAACAAAAGAATAATCTATACTTAGATATTGATATTTTTTACTCTGATGAGATTGCACTGAGTATGAAAAATGATGATAAAAATAGTAAAGACATCAATGAAGCACTGAAGATACAACTTATAGCAGATATTTTATCTACACTGAATTCAATCTCTGAATCTAATTCTAGCAATTCTATTGAATCTGATCTTTCTATCAATACTCATCTGATATTATCAAGCAATTGAATATCTAGAGTGAATGAGATTAGTTTTGATTTCAGCAAGTTCAATATAATTGAGAGTAAGAGAATACACAAGACAATTCATTATATAGCAGTATCTTTTATAAGAGATAACTCAAATCAGATGATCAATACTATCTTCACAGAATCTCTATCTTGATCAGAACTTTCTAAGATTCATTAATCTCAGTTATCTGATTCATCTCAACATTGAAATGATATCAACAAGTATTTATATTGTGATGAATGAATAAATACTGTCAAATGAGAATGAGACTCTATAATTCAGCAAAATATCTATAAAATTATTAACAGATCTTTGAAAAATACTTCAGTGATTTCACTATATTGAGTATTTATTTATAAGTTTGATGATGATGATTATTTTATTAAGTTCAAAGCTCATATTTATATCTGAAATGATTTATAATCAATATCTGAATTAGATATTAAAACTCATACTCTAGCTGTAAGAATCTTCTGTATTCTGTTTATTATTATCAATATCTTTAATTTTAATACTGAGCAATTAAATGATATCAATATCTTTATAAACAGTTCACTTGATAAGCTAGTTTATATTAAACTATCAGATAATTGATAAAAGTTGAAGAAAATATGAAATCTCAAAAAGAATGTCTACATTCTACATCTAATATATATTTTATATAATCTAAGAAGATTACTTCTTCTATAGCTTAAAGAACTATCTATTACTTTTAAATAATTAGACTTTATTTCAATTTCTGAAGATAAATACTTATTCATCAATAAATAGATAATCATCTTCTTCTATATTGATGATACTGTTGTGATATCTCACTTTGATGACAGAGAGAAAAAGAATCAGTTAATCAAAGATCTCAAGAATATATATAAATTCAGACAGATAAGAAATCTCAAATAATTTCTTAATATAAAAATTACTAGAGATTGAAGCTCTAAGAAGTTGTGGCTCTGTCAAGATATCTATATTAATAAGTTAATTGATATTTATCATCTTATTTATATTTATAAAGTATTAATATCACTATCTAATATTTCACTAGCACTCTATCAAGAAATTATATTGTCAGAAAATACTCATTACTATCAACACTGAATTGAATTCTGTATCTATACTGCTATAATGACTAGATCAGATATTATATACACAGTTGATAAGCTTGCAATCTATATAATCAATTCTTTCAAATATTATTCTACAGAGATTGATTACATTATCATCTATCTATAAAATTCAAAGAATCTAGTGATTGAATATAGTATATCTGATAATAATAACTTATCAATAAATATGATTGAAGCAGCTAGTGATATCTCTTTTATAGATAATTTAGATAGAAGATTAACAGAAGATTATATCTTCAAGCTTTTTAAGAAATCTATTGATTGAAAGTCAAAGAAACAAAGAATAATAATAATTTTCATCATCAAAACTGAATTACTAGCTATATCTCAGATAGATAAAGAGATAATTTGATGAAAACAATTCTTTGATCATCTAGAATTTAATTCTGACTATAAGATTTTCATCAAATATAATAATCAATAAACAGTTGACATTCTTACTAAGAAAGATTCATCTATTACAATCAAATTATATCATATTGATATATACAGCAATTGATTGTAAGAATGAATACAATTCAGAGATATCTCAGTATAATAAATATCTATAAGCAGTATATCAGCAGATGAATTAATCAAGCTATTATTACAACAGAAACAATAGAAGTTTATCAAACAACTAGAATTAGTTGATATAACTGATTTTATCAATGAAATATCAAAATAAGATATAAAGATTCAACAATCTTAGACAAGAGAAATTCAACATCCTCATATATCTTCTTTATCTATTTCTTTTCAACTTGCTAATTATCATATCCTCTATATTATTTTCTATTCTGATAATTTCTCCAGCTTCATTACTAGCAGTATTCAGCTGAAGGGGGTATATTGAGAACTTGGTAAGTTCTACTATCAAGAATTTGAGAAGATTCAAGCAGCAGTATGAATGTTCTACTAGATAAAATTTAGCAATGCTCAGTGCTATCTCTTGTGTATATCTAGACATGATCTTTCTTATAAATACTGCCTACTTTTCATGTAATTAGTGGAGTGATAATAAGCAATTCAATTAATATTATTGATATTCAGTATTTGGGGCAATATTCGGACTTTATTAGTTCCGACACATGCCCATTACAATTTGTAAACTATTATCAGAATAGTATCAAGTCTGTTGATAGTGTCATTGAAACAGATCATACAAACTGCACAGGCAGTACAAACAGTTTAATCTGCAACATCAGTAACATCTGCTTAATCAGTGGCACGCCCGCTACAGTTAGATATTGAGATTGTAGAATATAGAGATCAGATTATAATAGAATAATTCACTGATCTCTAGAAGATTGAGCCAGCTGCTATCTATATACATACAGTATCATAAACAGATCAGACTTAATATGATATCAATGATGCTGTATGATGCAAGCAGTATGATAATGCCTTGATTTCCAACCTGATATGATGTTGGTGGTGCTATGTTCGGTGATGTCATATCCTTTAGGGCAATTACCGATTCCGGCCTAGCACGGGCACCTTAGTGCGGGTTTCTTACACTCAAAGACAATTAAGAAAGCAAAGCCGCAAAAATAGAACTGAGTATCTTATTACAATTAAAAAGAGAGATAGAAGTTTAAGGTGAAAAGAAGAATAGCAGACAGCAGAGAGATGTATAACAAAAAAAGTGGGGAAACTCAAGCAGGCCAGCTGCGTCACAGAAATCTACCTTCAATCCATCTATAAATGCTAAGTGGAAGTATTGTCCTTTAACACAATGGAACCGGATTGTTCTTCAGGCGAACCTTAACGCGTACGTGAGGATCACCCTAGACCTTTCCTCCTTTCAAAATTATCTCAAGGTTCATCAAATCTTGCGGTCCGAGAGCCGCTCATCAACGTCCTCGTAGGCTTTCGATCATCAGAAGGGTTAATTGATAGGCTCCCCAGATCAGAGCAAATCTCACCAACACTTTGGAAATCCACACTGTCTTCGTCTCTCGGAAGGGAAGCAATCTTAGCTATGGCATTCTCAACGCGAACCCTTAATACAGATGCGGATTCGTTGTTCTTCTTGTCACCTGTGACAACCCATTCAGCTCCACTATTGTCTTTCCCGACATTATTTTCAAAGTGCCAGGGAGTAGACAGCTCCTGAGAGTCTTTAGGTTGCTCCACTAGACTTTGCATATAGACAATACATTCTCTTAGCGAAGGAGTCTGGCCAGAGGATTCAATTGCCGGGGAGAAATACAGGACCGCATCTGAGTTCGTGCCTTCTTGTTTCAAAAAAATTGTTTTATTGTAAGTTGTCAAGAAGCCATATTTCAGGCGAAATACCTGCATATATCGAGCGATCTGGCCTTTTAAACCCATCAGCTGCTATCTACCATATTCTGTCTTAGAACAAGAGATTTGTACCTAGACCATGTCTGAGTGACGTAGAATCCGACGAAAAGTCATCACACCAGCCCTTGATGTCATGCTTCCATGGTGTCTTTGCTTCTCCAACAAGTCGTACCTCGCATCCATTCTCAGTCAAAAGAGCGTAGTCAGGGATCAAATGGTTTTGCTTCGCAGGACTTCCATCGTTGGCATCTCCCCCTTTTTCGTGCTTGCAATTACTATCTTCGCCCTTTTTGAGCTTTTCTCCTCTGACAGCATTCTTACCCTTGGCCGTTTCCCTGTGGTCGCCACTTTTCTGGTCGGTCTCGTTCTTTTTTCTCGCTCCAGCGGTAGCCCTCCAGTCACCGAATACGTTCGTAAAGCCAGCCTCCTTCCCAATGGCCGTCGCCATATGCAGAGCGTTCTGGATGAATCTTGCACTGACCGAGGACTCGTCTCCACAGCGAAAGTGTTCAGTAGCATGTACATCTCCGTGCTGCAGGCTTTGACTGAGCGGTTTCTTGCTCCATTCGATCGCTTTTATCGAGGAAGCGACTTCATCTTGAAAAGTTTCCCATGGCTCAAGTTTCCAAGTAAAAAAGATGTCATGTAGGGCAAAGTTGGTAGTACAACAATTTTTGTCAATGCTAAGGGGTGGAAGAGGTTGACTCGCAAGTTGTTCCGCATTCAAGGGCTTCGATTTTGGTTGGGATGTCGGGGAATTGTCTCGAGAAGCCATGAAGTTATTTGAGGACGGAAAAACTGGTCAACTGGCGGAACGGGACTAATATAGGTGAGGAAAGAGAAGAAGCAACTATTGCCTTTTGGCTCCATAAGTAATGATGAATTAAGACGTGTTTCCATCGCCCTTTAAATATCATTTGCAAAATGGTAGATGGCGTGGACTTCTCCTCAGTTCATCCTCAACATCCTCTCCATTCGTAAACACAAAAGACAACATGATCAAACACATGCTAAACATCCAGGAGCTGCTTGACTAGCTAGATCCGTAAGATTCATTGACAACACTTTGATTTTGAGGCAAGTCACAAAATCTAGAGCGTGTCATAGCTAGTACTTCAGTATTCAAAAGATAGAAAACTTTTATTTGTGTTGGCTAGGAGGCCAAAAAGATCCCAACAGTTGAAGAGATGTTGCTGTTTCATAAATCGAAACGCAATAAAAAAGGAGTAAGGAAAAAGGGGAGGAGATGAATGACGAAGAAGAAGAAGATGATGATGGTGAAGATGAAGAAGCAACAGAAGCAGAAGCAAAGAAAGAAAGAATAAAAGTGAAGCAAGGATTCCAGCAAGGATCAATGATGCGACATTGAGTACAAAAATGCAGTCAAATAGATATGAGCTTGAATGGTCGAAACAAGAATATTTGATGCTTGCGAACTGGTGTTGAAAGAGGGGATGGTGAGATATGAGATATCCCTGTCCCAACCAACTCGACATTCATGGACCTGTCTAAGTATGCATCTAAACAAGGTTGGGCGCTAATGGCGTTTGTTCAGCTGTTGTGCCTGAGTTGGTCAAAGCCAATCCGCTGTCGCCCCTTGGCCAATAGGACGGACCGCACGAGCCGACGGAGCTCCCAGGCTATACAAACAAGCCAATGCGGTGTTCTGCCTGGCCCAACAGGCAGAAAAGCCGACATGTTCCAGGCAGAGGTGTCTCATCTCTTGCAGACTCTGCTGAACCCGGTTACTCCCACGCTCCTTCAAAAAAGGCATCTCCGATAAATTCAGAAGGGCTTCCTCAAGTTTTTTTCTTCTCTTGTTGTATGTTCAGTACATCCAACCATCCATCCATCCATACATTCTTCATCCACTCTGGGTTCTCGTTTCGAGTTCATTTGAAAATTAGCCTGCTTCGCCCGCTGTTGCCCGCCCGCCATGTCGAGTCCAGCTGCTACCCATGATGTCTTTGCTCAGGAAAATCACAACGCCGAAGAACGTGAACAGGAAGAACAAGACGAGGATGTCGAGGGAGAGGAGCTAAATGCCGAGGAGAAGGAGGAAAAGCAGGAGCAGGAACATTTCGATAACCTAGCAGAACTTAGGGAAAACTTTTTTATCAAGCATGGGAACAAGAACATCACTTTTCCCACGACAAAAACAACATGGAAGCCAGGCAAAATATTTTCTGAGCGCATGATCGACCAGATGCATACCATAGAAGTCTCCGCTATGTGTGTGGCTGTTCAGGTGGAAGGTCCTAACTGTGGTTTGAAGGCCATGTTGAGAATCAGAAAACAGTGAGTGACTTGCTTGTGCCATATCAACCGGAAAAAAAAAAAAAACCCCTCCATTAACGTAGTCTCTTCTAACTATAACACAGGTTGCCAGCGCATTACTCATCCCACGACTTTCCCATTGAGACATTCAGCGTATTGTCACCAGAGGCTACTCAAGAGAAGGACAGCCTCTGTGACCTCACGGAAAAGGGTTGCACTTCCACGCCTAGATGTATAGACTATTTATTGAAACGGCAGTCCGACGAAGATATATTCCCTGGCGGATTCATACTCTACATAGTCATGGAGAAAGTTCCCGGTTTCAATCTGCGGAATTTCGAAACATTTTCGCTTGACGAAAGGGATCAAGTTCGCATTGCTTTTGCGAAAGCCTTCTAGTAAGCTCAGCTTTTGCACTTAAACAAACTCCCTATGAAAGATATTTTAAGATGAATCCGCTGCCAATATGCTAACCAGGCAAACCTTGTCATCAGTGAATTTCTGACCATGGGATATTTTCATGATGATCACTATCCTCGAAACTTGATCTGGGACCGAAGGAACAAAAAAGTGTAAGTTCCACCTGAATCTTTTGACCGTGTAAGATCTACATACTGACTGCGTTACCAATAATCCCGTGTCCAGCTACATCATCGACTTGGAATCAGCAAGGAAATCATCTAGGAGCTTTGAACCTATGTTCAGCAACTACAAATTTAGGCAATGGTCTCTAGCAGGGCTCGATGACCGAATTGACCCCATGGTTGTGGAACATGCAAACTGGTTCTATCAGAATAATAAATCATTTCCCACTGATGAAGAATGGGTTACGATACTCGCCAATTCCAAGGGGAAGCCTTCAATCTCAGAGAGGAGATTCAACAACCATGTTTCCTTCCTTGAAAAGGAGCAGAAGAAAATAACAAAATAATTCATATATAAACTCTTTACTTCTTCAATGGTTGAATTGTGTTCTCTTATCTTTGAAAGTTAGACAATATTTTTCAGATTGAATTGTCATTTGTGTTTTCAATTGAATAATATATCATCAAACTTTCACAGTATAAAACATTTTGTCTTCTTTAATATATCTATCTTAAATTCAAAATTGTGAAATGAATGGCTTGATATAGAATGAGCACAAAGTGATTTCAAATAAATTTGTATATCAGATTTCAGATCAGTCATTGTCATACATGTATATATCTATATGAAAAACTGTTTTCTAGTTTGGTGATTACATTGCTGCTCTGACACTGTTTTCATAGATTAGTTGCAAGACAGTTCACATTTCAGCACTGTCTAATATCTCTTTCAATGTGATTGCTTTTCATTTGTTTTCTCTTCTTCTTTTTTTCCCTGTGCAGTGCAAACATTGTTTGTCTGAAGAGTTTATTGTATGAGTTACCATAACAATTGCTAGAGCAATTGGCGCTAATATATAAAATTCGCAAGGGAGGCAATTTGGCAATCACTATCAAGTATGAGATATCTAACACCAATATCTACTGCTATCAGGGGGTGGGACACTTTAAGACGGGCGAGGGAACTTCTAAAAAGGAAAAAAATATCTCAACACGTAGCCCAAAGGTGCAGGGAAATCGACCGAAACAGTGTATTCTGAGGATGAGCTACGGTTGACGGCCGCCGCACAGGTTCTGGCGTTCACAATCAGAGCATTCACCTCACCAGCAGTACCCCAGGAGTGGCACGATGCTGCTGCGAAACTTGATGTTTGGCCAGTGGAGTATTCTGAAATACTGGAGCAGACTCCACCCACTGCTCGCCCAAAACATGCGCCCCCCCTGTACCATGGCAGACAACCCCATAACCTTCCTCCCTTTGGGATGATGTTGTGATCTGGATGCTGGCCCTCTGAAGACAAACACTGATCAATGAGCTCCCACTCACTGTCTCCTCCCTCATCTTCCCCTCTTACCCCATTGCAATCTGACATTTGTGGTTGAATGCAAAGAGAAGGGTCTGGGTCACCTGCAAAGTCGCGAGGCGCACCAGGACACAGGGAAGTCAGTGGCACCCAGTGGATGCCCAATGTTATTGGAACAGCAGCCATCAAGACCCACCCATACTGCTCCCAGCAATATCTCCTTGCACTCAAGGATGGTAGCCCTCTTGATCCATCATGCCCTAACTACCAGGACCAGTCTATTTGTGAGTAATTGTAAAAATGATGTCTGATAGCAATGGCTAATAGTCTCTGATTGTATACAATTATAAGTAAATAAATAAACAATAATAATAATAATAACCCACAGTTAATTAGTTTTTTAATGTTTTTTATCTTCAATCTATAGATAATGCAACATCATTGTTAAAACATTCAGTTATTTAAGTACACTATATGCATTTTTATATCCCAATTCAACGATGTAGATAAAACTATTCAATATAACCCAGTGATTGATATAGAATTCAATGTATTACTAGTTAATGTAGATATATTACATTACCTTTATCTATTTTAACAACATTTATCTATTCACAATGACTGCGATTGGCAAAAACACAACGCTGACAAGGCGGTCTTCGCCAGCAGTCCGCATTCCCAAGACATCCAAAAGGATAACAGTGATTCATTCGATGGGATAAGATATTAAATGAAAATGGTGTCGAAATTTCTGTTTTATCAACTTAACAAAGTGTCAACTTTTAAATTCAACAAGAACATTAATTATTCATGAGAAGTAATTACCTTGCTTACTTTGAGCTGTCACAACAGTGTCTTCTTTATTCAAAAGTGATAATTTTTCTATATTGTCAATATATCCACTTTTATACGTTTTAATATCTAAATTTATGTCATTTATCATTTGAGGTACGGCGTTATTCGGGATAACTAAACTTTGCTTTGATTTTATAAATATTAAAATTTACTCTATCGCAGAATAATTATATATAATGATAACTAGATACTACTCACCAAGTTTTCATGAGCAATAACACTGAAAATAATAAAATTTAAACTTGATATTCCAACAATATTCATCACTATTAAAGGAATAATAATGTGTTATACTTTAACTAAAGTAGAAAAATAGAAAATCAAAATTCTTTCAACATGATAAAAGTGGAAGGTTGGTTTATTGTAATCATCTAGCGGGCGTACCATTGCTTAAATAGAATGTAATCATATAATATCAGCAGGCATTAAAGATATTACCACGAGATAACTTTTAATAATATTTTCACAGTTGTTTTTTTAGTTTACAAAAAACTAAGATTGATAAAGATAAGTTGAATGTTAAACTTTTTATAATGACATGAATCATATAGTTTAAAAATAAGCAAATGTTTTTATTTACATTTAAAGTTAGATATAATAGTATTTTATATATATAACTATTTATGATTTAATTAACTAAGTTTTTGATTAAATTTAGTTTAAAACTTTTGTATCATTTATTATCAAGTAACAATGAGTGAAATATATAACTTGTTAACTTAGATATCAATTATATAAAGTGTGAATTTTTGATTTTTTTATGAATACCTTTTAAGAACTTAAGTAGTAAGTACTATAATATCATTTTAATTGTTAAAGAATATACCACTGCGTTTTAAAAGTTATAATGTTATATTAAAAATTAATTAGTAACTATACAGTTTTAACAAAACACTTTACTTTTTAACATAAATGATCGAGGTGGAAGGTTGGTTCATTGTAAAGTATTTAGATTAGCGTAGTATTGTTTTTAAGGTTAAATATGTGTGGTCACATGGAATTATAGCGAGCGACAGGCATGCCAACAAATAGAATTGTTCTTTATTTTTGAGAAAATATGAGAATCGCATGGATGTTGATAAAATATATAAAAGCTGAAATTTTTTATTTTTAAATCATTATTATCTAAAACATTGAAAAAAAACTTCAAGTTAAATAACACACTTGAAGTCAAGGATTAAAGCATTATTGTTATATCAAACATTGTATAGACAGCATTCAAAATAGAAAGCATAATTAAACCTCAGAATGAAGCGGGGTTTAACTTAAAAACTCAGTTTCGCATTAATGGGATGTGAAAATGTTGTTCATCAAAGTTGATGCTAACTTCAGCCACTCGTGCCCTCCCACAATAAGATCGAACAAGTGGATACTGACCTGAGATGCTAGTAGAGACTCTGAGGACCTATCGGAACAGCCGAGCACATCTGCTTGCCCACTTATCAACCTGTTCTTATCATCCGATTGATATCCGATTGATCCTTAGTTACGGGAATGGAGATTGCTAACTAACTAGCTGTCTATTTGCTTAATCCTAGTTGAATCCCTCGAGCTACTACATACCTTCCTGCTCTACATCTGCTGGATCGCTACAGATGCCCTGCGAAAAGTTTCGTCTCACTAAGAATTTACACTGAAATCTTCTTTCTAGTGTACTGAATCTTATGGCTATACTGCCTGGGATTTTGGCAGTAAGGTAGGGAGAAGGCTAGGGGCATTGACCTCTAATTTTCCCTCCGACAGTCCCTATTCTCTGAAATAAGAGATGGAAGAACAATACATAATGCCAGTATCAATATTTCAGTTTAAATTCTTAATGTGAGTCAAAACTTTTGCAGGAGCATCTGTATAAAAGTAGCAGGTTCTATCTAGCGGGCTCAATGCTTGCTCATTCACATACATCTCCCCATCTACCAGCACTTTGCTCCATTCTCCTGCAGTGACCTTAGGCTGTATAATGAGGGTCTAGAGGGTTCACCCGAGTTAAGGGTAAGGTGGAGTTAAAATGTTCTTTTACCCCTCGGGGTTAGAGGCACGGAGGTGGAATGGAGATTCAGAAATCAAAAGACTTCCTCCAAAATATGCATTGTCTGTTGATACATAATCATCCATCTTGTTTAGTTACTACTACTCATTATGGTTCATAATGTTTCACTATTGCCTTTCAAATCTATCTTACAATCTTCTTCCCCATAGCAAGATTGGCTCCAAGTTTGAACCCTAGCGGTGGCAGGTAGTTGAAAATTCTTTGGCAAAAATTTGAATCTTTTGAATCCAATTCAACTGTAGCCTATTATTGAATCCTCATACACACAATGTCTCAAGGCACACTCCATCTACTTTGGACCTGGCCAATCGCAAATGCTATTGACACTGACGGCCAATCATCCACATAACGCGACACAGTTGGGGACTAGGTAGAGACGAAACGAAATGTGAAGAGGGCATATTCCACTGCTGGTCTTGAAGGGCCATAAAATAGCTATGAACAAAATACTAATAAAGATGACGTTTCCATCGATTTATGTCATACCGGACATCTCTTAACGGACGCATCGCTTGACTAAGGTATCCATCACCAATATAAGTTAACCTCACACGAGAGCGGCTTTACCAGGCAAAGATGAGGGCAATGCCGACAGCTCCCATTATTCCCAAGGTGGCTGGGATCAGCGAATGGGATGCACCATTGCCCGTCGGAGTAGGGGTTGTGCCAGTGCCAGTGCCAGTGCTTTCGCCTGAGCTCGTAGTTTCGCTGTTTCCAGTGGAGCTGGGTTTGTCAGTTGGGGAAGAGCCAGACCCAGTTGATTGAGGTTGAGTGCCTGTTGTTCCGGCGGTTCCGGTGGTAGCAGATACGGGTGAATAGAGGGTAGTGCTGCCGACTGTGGTCGTGATCACTTGAGTGCCGGAAGTTATGGTAGACACAATTGCTTGGGTAGTGTAAGGAGTAGATGCAGAGGAGCCCAAGCCCATCTGGGTGTTTATTAGCGACATGGATGCCACAGGGATAGTTGGATGCAGATGAGATGGCTCACTGAAGATGCTTCACTCGGTCTAGGGGCGCCTGTTGGTGACGCTGTCTGCTTGCTCGTAGCAGTCGCTCTAGGTTCTTGGGAACCGCTTGGGGCATTGCCGGGGCAATATCTGGCAGCAGCTGCGGCGGCAGCTGGAAGATCTTGAGCCCCACAGGCTTCCGTAGTGCAGTCACGCACACCGTATGCGAAATCCATGTTCTTGCAAAGGCAAGCAACATCGTCGGCTTTGCAGCCTAGAGATGGAGCGAGGTCCAGCATCCGTCCGATGCATCCACGCTAATCGTATTTCAATATCGACAGTTAGCAGCACTGAACAGTTTAAAACCAGTCCCAAAATAACAGAAAGGGAACTCGTGGAAGACATACGGCACATTCCGACACACCTTGTAAGTCTTGCGCCATGCCTAGGCCGGTGAAAGCACCCGCAGCGAGCAATGTAACAACTTTCATTTTCACTTGGACGAGTTTGCAATATCACTTTAAATATGACAAGAAAGTGATCAAAGTAATAATGATTTTGCTATGTGTGTCGCAAATGGATCAGCGATGTGGAAGACGACGAAGGGAAGATAAAAGGAACAACAGGGGAAAAAGGGGAAATAGGGAATAAATAAATGAACTCGGGCCATCCGACCACGACAACAAACAATGGAACCAAATCAAGTAAAAAATGTCCAAGGGAAAAACAAAAGATAGTCCAACTCAAGCCATCATGGAGCACACGTTGTGTGCCAGCCATTACCGCCCAACCACAACCGGCACATCTCAAAATTTGTTCTCTCTGTTTTTCTTTTGGTGGCGAATTAGCGAGCTCCTGGGAGGCTTGGTCCTCTTCGTGGCCCGAGTTAACTTGATCCTTACAGCGTAACTTGATCCCTGAGGAGATGCTAGGAGGGAAAATACTATGTCATTCGTTCATGAATGAAAGGCGATTGTTGCCATACGCTTCGCGTCGTAAAATGAAACCCTGTTCTTCGCTCCAAACAACCAATTTGCGAACCAAGGGCTCAGTTACAGAGGCTTTGCCGGACATTCATGAGATGCACAAGTATTGGAAATAATCATGGCGCGAGTGATTTGGCAAGAAAACAAGTTTGGCATGACATGAAGAATCGCCAGCGACGAGCTAGATGTGCAGCCGGTAGTCCTCTAGCTGGACAACTCAACCGGCTCATCAAGGGCTTGAGGGGATTAGCGTCGATGTGAGTCGCGAATTATTGGAACCTGTCGAGATGCAATCATGCGCTAGTTGTGCCTGCAGAGAAACAAGCGATAGTGCGAAGATGGGTATTTTCAGCTCTATTAATTTGTCACCGCCACAACCAGATAATTGGAAAGGGGATTCCTCCAGTTTTCTCGAAACAAATGCTACAATGGCGCGATGAGAGATACATCAAGCGGGAGAAGAGAGATGCTGCTATCACTGGAGGTGCGTGATAGGACAGAATCCTCAATGATAAAGATTTTCACTGTATTGCGCTGTTCAGCGAAATTCCCAATTCCCGTTTTGTTAACCAGCGTGTTCACATCGCTGTCCATGCGCTGTGGGAAGATGGGCTTTGGGCTGCACAAAACATATTGCTAAGGAGTCAAGAACCCAATAGCTTCATGCTGATCGCAGGCCCAACTGCTGATTTTGCAGGATAGATCTCCGTTCGCGACGCCACCGCGCCTGGTTGGTGAGGAGTAACGCTAAGCACTTTTCTGGTGGCGATCTGTCCTACTCACCTTGGCATGGAGTCCCTCACTCCTCTGCATATTCCGAACAATTCATCTCTTTGCTGTTGGCTGGTAGGAGAAATATAGGCGAATGGGTTGAGCTTGCGTTCCAGCTTTGCTTCGCAGTCGATTGTTGAGCCATTTCATACGATACCTTGAGGTGTAAAAGCAAATGCTGCGGGAGTTCACGGACCCGACGCCCCTGTGATGTGGTCGAATCCCGTCGCCAGCTCTTCGGGTTTGCCCCTTTTCTCGTGCCAGTTGTGTAACCCTGTTTAAGCCTGTCAAAGCTGGAAGGGGGACAACTCCCCCTGCATCCGTCCTAGAAATATCTGATAACATCAGACCGCTTCTCCCAGCTATTCGGTGCAATGAACGTGCACGTCACACACGCTACAACGAATGCGAAAGGTTAGCTCGCCCCGGATCCAAACTTTCAAGTGCATGCTATTATGTTCAACAACGGCCTAAACTGCTTCTGTGCGATAGGGAATCCCGCGCATCTCATAGCACAGAATAATGAATAATCTAACCCAAATGAGTTAACGCGCATGCAGTTCTCCAGGAATGGGATACTATCAGAAAACCTGTAGCGCCTTATGTAAATCAAAAAAAAAAAAAAAAGAGCAATTTGCTCTAGATGTCGAAGGGATCAAAAACTCTCGAGATTTGAAATACCGATATTTGGGTACTCCCTACTACCAGCGGAAACCCCTCCAAGTAGATGGACGAGGGGTGGACTGTACGTGGCCTGGCACTTCGAGTTGGTAAAATGTGAAAGCTCCGCGTCGTTGGATGCCGGACCGAGCAGGTGATAAACCTTGTCTGGTTCACACGGGACCTTGGTTCCAAGGAGGTTTAAGGTAGAAAGACGTTCAATCCTCGCTCTGGTGTTGTTACAATTTCCCAGTTGATTTGAAACATCGCTATTATCAGACGTTTGGAGACAGGGAGACAGCAGAGTTCGCCAGGATGTTTCATGCAAATGAGCTGCTGGGAGAGCGCCCCATCAGGCGGGATTCCCACCAGACATGGAAAACAGTCCATGTATGTCTGCATTGTACTGTACTTTACATGGTCTCAGTGTACTCTAGCAACCGTACAAGTTGCTAAATCCTCAAACCCACAGAAAAGATGAAGGGCAAACCACCTGCATATGATGGTGCAAGTGAGGAGACACTGACTCTGCCAAACTTGATACCACACAAACACAGACACAGATCCACTCAACAGAAGTCAACACCATCTTCTTGAGGCATGAATTTCACGAGTGTTTCGCTACACATGATTGATAGGATCCGCTTTCTGGGATTCTCTTCGAAAGATGTCTCCTGGATACACGAAATTATCAAGCCACGTTGCCCAAGGGCATTCAGTTGAGGATCTGCTCATACCATGCCTGCCTTCCATGCTCCAAAAATCGAGGTCGGTATTAAACATTTACCCCTTAACACACGAATATACGGTCCTTCAGACGAAGTCAGCTTACATGGCAATCTCTGGACTCCGTCGGCCTGGTTTGAGGAGGAGAAAACCGTCTCCCGCCGTTGGGTTTGTGGGTTACTACAGGCCCTGTATGATATGGGATGGTTGATGGATTAAAAAAAAAAAAAAAAAAAAAGACTGGAATAAAGGTAGTTCCTTTAAATTTTTTTTATTGATTTTTTACTTTTTTCATTTATTTTGCGTATTTTTGGGATCGACTCCGTACAATTGAGCTCTATGCACAACTCTTTATTTCAACGCACAGTCCAATCAGTCACTAACTCTTTCTAGATACCCTTCCTTTCGCCTTCAACAGCCTTCACCCCCGCGAAGTAATTGGATGTACATCTCCTTTAATAGGTCTAACCTTCTCCACCTAATCAATGCGCCGAACCCAGTGTGTCAGGCAATGAATAAAGTGCAGAGAACGCAGTTTCTTGAGTCATCCTTCGAGATCAAGTTTCGTGGCTATCCATGGAAAGCAGGCGGAACTGAGACTGTCCAGACGTAATTGATACTCTTGAGAATGCTAGACCGCCTGGAGCAAACTGATTTTACCCTCTATACATCTATTGATCAAGATACAAAGCAAAGCGAACAAAAGACTCATTCGGATACATGGTTTGCCATCGACAAACTAACCGGGCACCCGGCGCGCCGATATACCACGTTCAAATGTCCGGCATTATCGTGCACCGTTGGGAATATCCCATGCTTTTCAAATTGTCCACCATCGCTGGTGTCCACCTTTGACAACCCTCACAGTTCAGAAGTGTTCAAAGTTGACTGTTTGTTGGTTTGAATAGAAAACTCGCAAGACATAGTAAACCCTTATTTTTTTTATTCTCGGCGATGGTAGGAAACCTCTGGTGGTTAGTCGGATGTGTGCGTTGCCGTCGATGCCGTCGAGGCGGTCGGGCATTCCGCTGATGAGTCAACTTGGGAGAAATATTTACCATCAGATAGGAGATAGGAGGGTGAATAAACGAATGCAGCCTCGGATCGGACTATTGAGTTAGGATATCTCGTTGTTTGATAACGGCGTGGTGAGACCATATGTTGTATTTCAAACCCAGAAGCACGGGGTGACGAGAGTGGGGTGTCGGGTTTGAAAAGAGTTGGAAGTTCAAAGCGATACAATTCCTAACAAGAAGCTCCTTTCGCAGCCTTAATATTCCCCATTTTGGCCTCGGGCGGCGCTGAGTGAGCTTCTCTGGTGTTTTCAAGCGCGGAGTCCATCACCACTCAAATTCTGGATGGCGGTGCTCTCGTATTCAAATTGAACTCCGCTAAATGGCTTGGTGCGCCAAGCTGAAATCGCCTCGTGTTGGTTAGGATCGGCCTTCGACATCCCGCTGATTTTGATTCTGACAGGCAGTTTATCTTCCTCCAACGGAGCCTCCTCGTATAACTTGGCTCGCGATCGACAAGACATACTGTTGTCGTTTTTGAAGGCTTTTTTTTTTTTTCGGGCGAAATGTTCCTGCTTTCCACCAATGAAGAATGCGGAGTCTTACAGACATGCTCCGTACATATTGAGATGGAGATCCAACACTTGTCGAACTTCGCTTTTCTTCCCCAGGTGTCATTCTTCATGAGCTCACATTCCCGTTGATCAATTTCGTCCAGCTAGAACAAGCAGCAACAATGGCACCCAGGCGAAGTGGAGGAGGTGGAATCTTTATTTCGTCTTCATCTGCCTCATGCTCAAGCAGCGCTTTTATCGCAACAAGTTCCAAGATCTATCTCGGATACTTTGCTACGTTTTTCATCATTGACTCTGCCCTTCTATGGATTGCATCTCGCCTGCTCTTCAAGCTCCAACGTGGTAGACCGCTTTTACGTTGGCTTCTCATCTTGTCGATTATCCTAACCGTTTTGTAAGTGGAACGAACCCTTCGCAAAGAATCCACTATTCGCCCGCCCCATTTCTCGAATTATGCGGGTCGCATTACCAGCTGACCAGTCAAACTCATAGCGACCACGCATGGGATGTACTTTTCCTCGTTCTCGGCGAGTGCTCTATTACCGGAGTCGATCTCAGCGTAAAGTTGGCACTTGTTTCCAGCTTCTTGGATGTTGTAGCAATTTCTCTTCTGGTTGGGGTGGTCATGGTCTCCCTATGCAAACGCCTTCACCATATTGCCAACATGGCTCCAAGGCTGATTGCTATTCTTCACGGCCTCTGGGCGGCTGGTTTCGCCTGCTTTTATTTTATTGCGATGTGTCTCTATGCGGCAATAACCACCAAACAACTTGACTTTTCCAGCTCTTACGGGAGACGTAAGGCACTAGCGAGTTTGGTTATGGGGTGGAATGGTATGATGACCCTGGCCGGTGTTGTCTTGTTGCTTGGGATGCTCTCAACTGCTTTCAATTTGGTTGGCCCATTGTCTCGTTGCAGGCATCAAAAAAGCAGCGTATGTGTTTCCTCGTCCGCTCCTTGATATTTTGGGAATGGTTAAATAATAACTTTTCCTGGTTCAGTCTCTCAGCATCATTGTTTCATTTCTAGCATTGAGCTCCGTGTGCTTTGGCGCATCATTCCTCGCTCACCAAATCCTGGTCTATCGCATGTTTTGGAAGACAACATCAGTTATCGACGCGCGTGACGGTTACTATGCGCTTGTGTTTCTTAACTTGTTCTTCTACAGTTCGACTTTTTTGTTTGCTCTGCTTGTCACAGTATCACCGGCCTTTTCGGACAACGAACCTTCAAATGATGTCCACCATCCTGTTCCTCAACAACTAGCCTACGCACTTCCCGTTCAACAAAACCCACCAGATCCACATATCCTGCTCATGCAGCAGAATGCCCAGCAGCCTTACCCTCCTGTAGGCATGACGCAGCCATATCAGCCAACACAGCAGCATCCGTATCATCCACACCACAATACGCCACCAGCGCCATACTATTAATCGATGAAATATGATAGCCGAATGATGGAACTATTTCATACTGTATTGATTGATCCCATATACCCTGTTTATAATTCTCCCGTTCTTTCCTATGTATGTATTTAATTGTGTCAATTGCCATCAGACTTGTTTACATACATTTCCTTCCTGGGGATCTGGGATCACCCAGGCTGATTAACTCATTGACGTCAATCCATAATATATGCTCCATAGATATGCCTATAGCGAGGAATTCAGCTGAGGGTGAAACACATTGCAGGATCCGACTTGGTCATGATCAACGCCAAACATTCCATAGCAAAAGAGGCCTATAAAGTGCCAACGAAACACTTGAAAAATATAGAAAGTAAGCTATAAAACTTAAAGCCTGAATAGAGTGTCTCTGCAAGGTAAGTGACCGCTCGTAGAACTCAAGGCATTCCTAATCCGCACTGCTTTCCATATAGTCGCGAGGACTTGTAGAAGATTTTAGGAAGTGAAAACTCACGTGGGCAAATGGCCTAAGGGTCCAGTTTTATATTCCTTTGTGTTTTAAAAACCCATGCTTTGGATTCCTCATTGACCGTCACATCCTTAGCGAGCCGCCTCATCTACTCAGCCTAAACACAGGTATGACACATCGCTCTGATAATGCAAATGTAAACCAGCCCAAAAGAAAAGTCTTAATACTGGTCCCTGATTGCAGACCTTAGCCTTGACTCAATCTCCATTTCAAACCTCTCTTTACCGTATGGTTCGTCAACCAGTGTTCCCATCATATCAGTACCAGGAGGGAAGTCGGTTTCAAAAATAGGCTCCCCTGCTCCTCGCATATTGGCAAGGACCGATTGTCTAAAGTGCCATCGTAATAAATTATCTGAGACGCAATCAGGGCTGTTTGGGTCACGACAAACAGGGTGAAGTACTCGCCCATCGATTCCCCATGTGTCCGGTACAAATGTGGTAATCTTGTAGTCATTCTTTGGTGTATTAGTCTTGCAGGACAGGTTCAGAAAGTGAAGTACTTACATCTGGATTGACGGAAAACAGATATTGATCAAAGCACGTATGCAAATGTGATGACATAAGTAACCCATTCTGGGTGGAATTGATTCCTGATGCTTCTTCGGAGTTTGTAATCCAACACCCATAGCCAAATTGCTTCCAGAGTGCCTCCTTCTCCAGCGGGAATATATGTGCGGCTTCGAATCCTGTCCAGCGATGCGGGGCGAGGAGATTAACCAGCCCACTAATGACGCATCTCCCGTCTCTTGACCGGATCCCGTTTCGGAATGAATTTTCTCGGCCCGAGTCAGAACGGCTCATCACTCGAGCAACCCACGCTTCGTCTGTCAGGCGGATAGCTCCTAGATGAATAAGCTGAAGGCCCGCCATTCATTGGTCGGAAACATACCATCGCAATGGACATCATAATCCCCAGTTTCAGCCCGATTGTTCGAGGGCAAAATAGCCCTCCCAGAGGCTCTGTGTCTCAACGTCCACGGCTGGTCCACGACCAGCAGTATATTCTTGAGAGTGAAGAGCAAATTTTCTTCAGTCATAGAGCCAGATTGGCAATGGCCCGCCAGGAGCGTTTGATCACTCGCGTTGTAAATGTGGATATTACGCCAGGGGCTGCGGTCATTTGCCATGTTGTAGCTCTCAACAAAGAGAACAAGTTTAGAGATATGAGAGAAGTTATTCGAAATAGCAGGCAAGTGTTAGAGAAGCGGCAGTGTAACAAGTCAGGTTGGTGATGAGTGAGAAAAAAAATAGCGGGATGTGGTTGATACAGAAGTTATTGCCAGTAAGTCCTTCTAGGAGCATTCCTCCCTCCCTTCCTTATTGCTTGCTACTGCATTGTTGATTCGTTTGATTTTCCTTCAGATGAGTTCTGCCTTTTTTTTTTTATCCTAGACAAGTAATGAGTTCATTTTGAATCCTAGTAACGTGACTCACCACTCCCCAACTATGTCCCATACAAATTGTCGTAAATTTGATACATATCTCAGCCACAAATTATCATAATAAATTTATAAGTAATAATTTAAATTCCTCTACTAAATGTATTTACTCAAAAAAGTTTACTTTTACAAAAAGCTACATTATATAATCTGTATTATAACTAACTAACGTACTTCACCACTTTTTGGGACACACCACTTCCTGGGACACTAAATCACATGATATAGTACAGTTTGAATACACCAATCAAAAGAATACAACTTCAACCTCACACACTCATAGATTACAGCTGCTTGATGTAGTATTTAATAATAATGAATATAGATCAACTTACTTTAGCAGCTTTAGTTGTTCAAAATTGTGAACTCAGTCAATGAGAAGCTGTCTGACTATATAATACTTCTAAATATGAAAGAGTAGATATATATTATTTCTATTTACTCCAGTCATATCAAGTCTGTGTGTAACATCTAAACATCTCAAAATTGATCTCTAGTGCAAGTACACTAGTCTGGAATAGGTACCCTAAGGCAGAGTTTTATATCATGTGATTTAGTGTCCCAGGAAGTGGTGCGTCCCAAAAAGTGGTGAAGTACGTTAACTAGTTAACTAGTTAGTCAACTAACTTATTAAACCCACTTTGCACTAAGTACCACTAAAACAAACAAGACAACACGAGCAGGTACTCTCGCATGCTGCAAAGTGGCCGATATTCCACAGCAAGCTCAGAATTCAGCTTATCAACCCTTCAACGTCGATTCCGAAATTCTTCGATTATATTCCGCAAAAAGAATTGCTTGCCACTGCCGTTTGCAATCCAAGTATTTCTTGTCATGCAGTCTGTAACGTTCGTGCCTATCCCTCTTATCCAATCAGAGCTCACCCTAATTCAGCATGCCTGAATTGATCTCGAGTGCGATCCTGGTTCTGAGGCCCGCATGCAGGCAGACACGTATCATACACCCAACTTCCACCGGTTAAAACATATTTATGGTTTGATTGGCATTAATTCTTTTAGAAGGATTGGTCTTGCCAACCCTGTCTTTGTTTCCTTACCGCATGTTCTTAGGCAAAACATTTATTGTTAGGGGACAGAGAATCTGCTGGAATCCCATTTTATAATTTTACGACGCCTCCGACAATTACTACATCATGCCAGGATATATTTCGTTTGGCGGTATTGAATTGTCAGGCTTATCACACTTGTTATCGCTCTCTCTGATATCTCAATGTTTATTTCGTCTACAGCAGTCAAAACTGTCAACACTGTCAACATTACAATATCCGATTAAAAGTGGCTTTGTTCTATTTGTACCGTACAAGTGCAGTACAAATGATCCTATTCTTAAGGTATAAAGGGAAATGTTCCTTTCTTTTCCTTTCACTGTTTCATATCCTTCAATTCACTTGACACTTCGCACATTTGTTTTTATGGCAAACCTTGGTCAATCATTTTCCTTGCGAACAACACCATCATATCAAACATTTTTGCCTCTACTACCAGCCTCCACGCTTTGCAGCTGGAAGTACTCTGTCCTTCATTGAACAATTACGGTTTCATTCCATTTATTCCTCTCCCTAACATATCCCGACTCTGTCAAAAATGCGTCCTTTTATAATCACCTTTCTTGTGGGGTTCATTGGTTTGGTGTCCGCGTCCACGGTGTCTGCACGACAATATTGTGGCCCAGAATATGAAATGTGTGTTGCACGAGGCTCCAGTTCAGTTTCCCCTCCTTCCATTGGTCCAGACATGCGAAAACTCTTCGTCTCCGTGATAGAGTCGGTTGATGTTACAAATCCATGGAAGAGAGGAACGACCAGGCGTGATGATGTAGTGCCGCGTGCCGAATTGCCAGGCCTTTGCTGTAGGTGCTGCCCTATATACTAACTTGATCCCACACGGATTCGTCACTTACAATACTGACATCTTCCCGACACAGGCAAGACTGGAATGGAATGCCGGCTCCTTATAAACTATCATACATCCTTCTGCTGGGTATGTGCTTGAGCAACTCAATATCATTTCGCTTGTATCTTTACATGTATAAATAAGAGGGCGTGGCAATCCTAACATAAGCTAGGATCGATTTACAACAAACTTCTACCTTATCGATGGCTCCTATGGGAGTATTCTGACTGGGATTTACAACAATTCTGGCGACATTGTAGATCTGATCTCGGGAAAATATACACGCTCTAACGGCGAAACAGGAAATATCTACGCTGGCGACGAAGCCTCTAAACCTAATACTAGTACAATGGTGCTTCCTCCAGCTTGGACAAGCAAAGGTGTCGGAACTGCCATTCCAGGGAGCGAGTTGGGAGGTGGAGCTACATACACAACCACCATCCCCGACACTACCAAGGGACCTGGGACTATTCCGCTGTCAACACCTCCAGCAACAAATACGCTTACCACGACAGGGCCAGGTCCAAATGCAACAAGATCACCGTCAACGGCGACGGGGGAGAAGATACCAACTATCCCTGCAATTAAAAGGACATTCTGGCCTATTTTGATGTTTATGGCGTTTGTGGGTTTGTAGACGAACATTGAAGTGACTCCCTTTACCAGAAAGCAAAATTATTTCAAAAGTTTGGCATCGCATTGAGTATCATGTTGCTTTCAGAGCTAACTGAATTTGGATCCCTCTTGCTCATGTCTTCATAGATGCAAGCCCAGGAAGCTTTGGTCGTCGGCAGGTGTGATTCTAAATACGTCGTGGAATTCACATTACAATGGAAAGAAAACAATTTTTACTTAAGTTCCTTGTTTTTATTTGTTCTTAACGGTTTGTTATGTTCATATTCATCCTCGCCTCCAACAAACCGTGGATTTCAGGAGTAACATGGAGACCACATAAATACGAGCACCAAAGGAAGTATGATGACAAGAAACCTCACTCTACATATAGGTTTATGTTCTGGATCCGTTCCCCGACTTTCTAGCCTAATATCGTTATACCCAACTGAACAGCATGTGGTTTTCACACCAAACAGGCTGGAAAATGCGCTACCTAAGACTCGTCATATCGGCCATGCTAGTTACTCTCACGCAATTATTGCCTGCCAACGCGTCTGCAATTGAAACCCTACAGAAGAGGAAGGTATGTTGTCCATTTTATCTCGGTAACATGCGAAGGGCTATTTGTTCCGAACGCCAGCGGCAAGTGTTGCTGAAAAGCTTTCCCATTTAACACAAGTCGACATGAACCTTTCAAAATGGCCTGCGATTGTGCGGCTCTCATCTCATAGACCACCATATTATGCGGAGCTATTAGTAAGAGAGAGTTAAAACAGTGTCATCTAGGTTTCCTACTTTATCGGCCCAAATCAAACCAGCGTAGAGGGTTTCATCCCGGAGGGTGTCTGTGAAAGTTTCAACATCATCTTGTACGCCGATTTTCTCGTTTATTGGAGACAAAATAAAAGCATTGCACTAATATCTGTATCTACTTACCTAGTACCGGAGTTAGTGGTTCGCTTGATATTCCATATGGGACATATTGCAACATTTATGAGTGTGTCCCTCCAATATCCTCCTCGATCGTCCTCGTCATATTCGTACAGTACGCTAATAATGTATCAAACCGGTGCTTTGAGTATTCAATAGCTCGATGAATTGCACTGGGAGTTGGATCTTTCAGCTAGCCAGCCCGGGGGTTGATGACCTCTCGGCAAACCTTGTCCCATACCTTATTCCGCTGTCCATAGAATGTTTCGAATATGGAAGCTGGTAGGAGGGACGGTAATTGCGGGTTAATAATGGTGAGTTTGTAGCTAAAGCCTCTTGATCTGAGCACTCTACACAGGCAAGCAAAGGAATACTCGAAGTCCCTAACCAATTAACATGGCGCTTGGTACTTTGTAGGAACACATAAACTTCACTCAACACTCTCCTATTCTCCCAGCCCTCACTCTCTTGGTTAAATTGTATGCATTGTACTCCCGAAAAGCAACTTTTACCATCGATCGGTAATGGCGAAGTGATGTGATTTTTTTTTTTTTTTTTTTTTTTTTTTTTTTTTTTTTACAGATTTGCATAGGGGTTCCATGGGCAGTTTCATCATTAAGGTCAGTCACGCCAGCATTATACTTCTGTGGTCAATAATACGTAAGTAGCTGATACAAATATTATAGCATCAAACCTATGGAGTACGTATTAAACTCATTCGAGGATCATTAATTTGGTCTGCAACAGGAATTCCGCATGCTCCTCCTTCCCCACAAGCAGTTATGTTGATTGTTGGGTTGGGAAAGGGTTATGGTTAGTTAACTCACACTCCGACAATCCATTTTCTTTGTTTTCCAACTATTGACAACTGCGTGAAGGACAGTTAGTCAACTCGCGAGCCGTACTCGACTCCCGCCTACCAAAGAAGGGGATTCTTTTTCTCCGGTCACTGCTCTTGAAAGTGCATCCATGGATATAAAAGGTCTGGTACCTGCTAGTGTTTGGACGCTTGACAGCAATCTGTTGCTATTGTTTTGGTTCATTATAACGAATGTGCCAATCTGTGTAACCTGATGTGAATAGTGGTTGCTTCCAACAATCAACAAATCAAAGGATCGCGCATTATCAATGGAGAGCAGAGTTAGGGCGGTTATTTGACTTTATTCCCTCCTTCATCAAGTGGGATATTGGAAGCTACCTGCTAATTTCATAGGGGCTAATGCAGGTGCAATGTAGAAAAAAAAAACATCTGGAGAACTACTCTTCGCTTCAGTCCCTAAGAGACAAAATCCAACATGTTCTTCATTTGGCACATAGAATCCCAATCAGCCCCCGCTCCGTCTGAGACCTGTCAATCGTCGATTAGAGGCGATTGCGCGTCCTTCTTTCTTTTCTTTTCCTTTTTGTTAATCGGCGAAGGATTCGCTTCTATAGCTATGGCTGACTTCTCCAACAGAAATGTATAAATACGGCCACAAGGAATCCAAATATCGCTTTATTTTTACATCACAAATCCTCAAATCCATCTTCCAGCTTCATCCCCGCAAAACAACACTCGAACCAATACAACAGCTAGCCAAAATGCATTATCTCACAGCAGCACTGTTCACCCTCGCTTCTTTATCCTCCATAATTCCGCTTTGTTCTGGCGCTACACTTCACAAGCGTGAGGACCCTGTAAGGCCCCAATTGCTTGATTCTACTTCTCCTCCTTGGACGCTTACCGGCGCTCAATGAAGCTGAAATATTTTCTACTTTCTATTTCCCATAGGCATTGAGTGGTACATAGCTAACTAAAGAGATTGTTCCAGCTTACCCTCTATCCAGAGATAAATAGCAAAAATGGTGGTGTTCGGCTTGATGAAGGGAAGTGCTACGCAAAGTCCGACCAGTAGTAAGTCCCTCTTTTTTTGTCCCCTTTTAACTTCTACCCTAGATAGGTCCTCATGACCCGCCGTTAGTTAAGCTTTTCACGTCTTACCTTATCGAGATTAAGAGATTTACTAACCTGATCACCCGTTCTATCATTTAGTAAATTGACATCTGGCTGGATTTTCGTGCCATTCCAAACATCTTGTGCATACTATAGGTTTGTATTAACAACTGACTTATCTACATCACCCTCATTTCAATGGAGGATTTGCCCAAAAAAGCAACTATTCTATATACATCCTAAGGCCTCTTAACCCTTTCGCTAACTCAATTCTTCCGCTATCCCAATCGACAGTTCGACCGACTGCTCCGGCAGCTATGTGAGGCACCTGCTGGCTCCGGGTGTCAAGGATACACCAGCCTATTTAAGGGATGTTCACGCAGACGTGAACTCTATCAAGTGTGATCATCTTGCGCCTAAATAGCGGGTTGCAAACAATGAACGCTACGACAAGTGAGTTGGTATTACGAGCATGTCGTATACTGGGGGCAGAGGTGGGAAGAACAGACAAACAACCTAAACGACAAAATCAAAAGGATATTGTTAATTAGCCGACATCTAGATAGCTAGTGGAAATGCAATCAAAATGCTCACAACCTATCATAACCGCTTAGTGGAATTAGTAATAGAATTGCCAATGGTATTGCATGGAGGTTAATTAGAATCTCTTCCGTAACGTAGAAGGATTTAATAGAAGTAATGCAATTTTTACAATCGTAGATGTCCGTAAAGTACGGGGCCTCGCATTGAAGGTTTTGCAGGACAAAAATGACAAAAAATCAACAACTTGGAATTTGGGCCGGGTATGGGCGATATACTCCTGATTCAAGTTATATATTTCATTTTGTTTGAGTTGTATCCTTAGACAAGACACAATGGATCACCTGGACTATTTTAGATTCTGACATTTGTCAACTATTCGGGCTGAATTTCTGCGTGCTATCCACACTGTCAAAACAAGCGGGATCCGTTGATCGACCATGATTGGCATAGAGGAGCATATAAAGCATTCAATTACGCACAAGTATATCAACGTACCCACCTCTTTTATCTTTTCGGGTAGATAACCCAGCTTTCGCCTTCGCCCCTATTCCTCTAACACCAGTTTCTCCGAGAAGAAAAATGCCCCCTCACATCGCCGTTATCGATGCCGGTTTCACCGGTATTCCATAGCATCGCATTGCGTTGGCCATGGGTTTGATGTGAAAGCTTTGGAGGCCAGAATGAAGTAGGAGAAAGTTGGATGGTATCCGGAGTGCACAGTTTTAATATAAATCCGGGAATTAAAATTCTCTGCCCGTCGAACTGAAAAGTTCCATGATAGAGAGTAAACTCAACTTCTGCACTGCGGATCCCGAGTCTCATGTTCCAATTCCTCCCAGCCATAAAATGGAACAATGTATATCCCACTCCAGCACAAATTAAACGAAGATCGATAATACTTGGAGGCATGGCGATCTCGAGCGGCACACCGTATGCAAAACGCCAATCCAATCTATTGACAAAAACAATGAGGGTAAATGTATCACCAACAACTATGGAGCCAAGTATGTAATCTTCGATGGCGTTATTGACTTTGGGGGATCCTAAAAAGCACAATTTCGTCACCGGTATCAGTTCAGGGGCAACTTAGCCCACTCTTTAAAAATCTTGGTGGAAAGAACTCCAGAGGAAAATGTGTGATAGTAGTCGGGGTGTTGCGAGCGCCATTGAAGCTCTCGAATATGTAGTAATGTCTAGTGCAGAGGGAATCGATGTCCTGTCTCGCCCAACCAAATAGATCAACATCGTCGTAGATACCTTCCTCGCGTCCAACATCTTCGATCAAGAAATCTGCCTTTCCTTGATCCCTGAATGGCTCCTGAAAAGGATTTTCTGCCACGATCTCTCCGGTAATGCTACTGCGGCCACAGCAGTATTTATAGATTTCCCCATAGTGAACTCCGGGCTGTTCGGCCAGATCGGCGCTTACAATCTTGCTGGTTGCGCGAGAATATCACTTCCGTTAAAGAAAACGACCTGACGTTCAACCGCAGTTCACCAGATGTGCCAAAGGGCGGCCCTGGACATGAAATCCCCGTTTCTTGCGTCGGTCCCTGCCGTTCTCCCGGTAGGCCAACAACCCCAGACCCGGGATTTAGACATCGAAACATCCCAAACTGGATCAGCGATGACTTGCGGCTTTCGGATGACCGTGTTGGTTAACATGAGAGGGACAACTATGTGAGTTAGATCGGAAAATGGATATCCGAAACGGCGGCATGATTGGCAAGATAATGGAAGAGTGATATGCTAGCGAGAAAATGGAGCTGAGCTCTCGACCACCTTAGTACTAGAGAGAGTGTGTGGGCTCTATGATCTAAGACTGTGCCTGTAGGATTAAAGGGTCCGGCTGCATGGGCCGAGACGACGCTGAGGGAGGTCAGCAAAGGAATGATTCTTGAATCGGCTGTGATCCTCTCCAGTCTCAAACCGCGCTTCCTACTAACAAAATCATTCGGCATGTTCGCCGTGCAAGTGTAGTGTTGTGATTTCAAGAGCATTCAGGCAAGACGTTCTCTACAACTCGGGATATGCAAATTAGACATTCAATTGCCGGATATATATCAACTCCATTGGTGGGGAATAACAAAATAGAGGTAGATGCTTAGATGATATAGGAATGTAAACGCTACCGCTTCCAGCTCCCGATCTTCCGCCGGCGCTTCTCAAAATTCGCGCCAATATTCATGCCATCACCTCTCGGGCCGTCCTCCGTAGCTCGTCTCTTCCGGCTCTTGTCCAGGGCAGTGCTTCTGCCACTATCTCGACCACGACGCGTAAGTCGTTCGATTCTATCCGCCCCTTCACCCAGGCTTCGCCAATCCTCGCCACCGTAGCCGGCCGGGCGGCCTTCTCCGCGCTTCGCCTGTCGTTCCTTTTTACTCTCCTTGGGCAGTCGCACGAAGTTGCCCTCTTCATATGCTCGCCTTTCGAGTTCCTTCGCCTTCTCCCTTTCGGACCGCACCATCCTTCCTCCAGCCCTGATCGTCGTGCCAATGCTAGGCTCTGCAACGGGTGCACTGGACATCTCAGCCGATACGAATTCGTCAATGACGGCAGATTTGGCGGTGTGGCGGCTTCTTTTTTGCTCGCGACTATCTGGTGTCGTAGTTGGGAGGGCTGTGGGTTTTATCTTGGGTGGCCGATAGATACCATCACCGGCATCCCTCCTACTCGGAACTTTGGATTTTTCTTGATCTCGGGTTCCCCGTGAGAATGCAGCTACGTTAGGTCGGTAAGCCAATTCATCAACATCCTCGTCTCCATCACTGTCTCCATCACTGTCAGCGTCGTCGCTTCCTAATCCACTATTATCTTCATCTCCCGGTTCTTGTGTTCCTCTCCGGAGCCGATTTCGTTTAAACACAGGGTATCGTTGATTTCGCTCGGCATCATCAGCTGCCTTTAGCACCTTATCAACCTGATATTTTAACTGGCCTTCCAATGGTCGCACACCACGTTCTAAAAACACCCGCAGCTCTGTCAATTTTTTCACGACATTACTGTATGGAGGTGCATCCGTGACTTCCCCCTTTCCTTCACCATTCATTCCGTCCCCTGATCTCCTCATGGACAACTTCCTCAGTTGTAGAAGCATCACAAAGATAAGGTTTTGAAGATAGGAGAGGAATATTTCGTTCTTTGTGTCGAGAAGTGAGATACCATCCAGAGGAGGTAATATGGACGCATTGTTCCCTGAAACATCTTCGTGTGGCAGGGAGGTCGGGAGGGATGCGAGCGCACTTGAGAACGTTGCGGTGAGGGTTTCCAGAGAACTTGATAGGGACTGCGCCGGAGCAGAGGTCGTCTCAATGTCGATAGGCATGGCAATTAAATGACAGGTCGATGTGCTGCTTCACCACCTCTAATCCAATTTGGAGCACCTCAGACCTGCATGTAATAGGATATTCTTCCTTCCTAACTGTCGGTTGAGAAGTTTTAACAAGTTCTACTTTTTTTTTCGAATACTTATCACCACGTGATCTAGAAACATGTTCACGTGATCGCCAAGCCAACACAACCATCTCTAACTACTTTAAGGAAACAGTTCCTAGCACCAGCAGGATCAGTTTGTTATAAATGTGTATACCTCGTTCGGCACTGACGGATACAGTCTGTCATCTTTGGTTCCTCTGGACTGTTTCTCCTAACCCAGTCAAGCCTAATCCAGTACAGCTCTTTGTTGGAAAATGCTTCCATTACAAAGCCCTCTTTCCACCGACGAGTTTACCCCCCCGTATTGCTGTATCGCTCCCTCTTGAAACCTCAAAATCGACAATATCTTCGGCTTGTTTCCTTCTGCAGATATGAAGATATGCCATATTCGTAGATGCTGCTCATGAATTCCTCTGATGCTACTTCTCAAGAGCGCCCAACACGCATGCATATGCAGAGTAATGATTTTCTGTTTCAAACGGATGATGTGTATGCTCTTTGAGCCCAGAATTGTTATTCTCATTCATACTCTCATGAATAATGGTCTACAATGAAATCTCTTATCATTCGCACAACATAATGTGTATTTTTGGTCTTTTAAGTTCGAGGTCAGTTGTCCAGCTTCTATGTATCTCTATATAAGCTTGAAGACCAGACACTATTATTGAGTTGTCGACAAGGATAACATTGAGTTGCCTAATCGTCCTTATCTATGAATGGATGCTTCTCTCTGGGTATGTACGCAGCGTATGCCATATCATCAATGATTTGACTTTATCCGCAGTGAAATAGAAAATAAGAGGTTCATTAATAATGAGCACTATGGAAGATTTGAAGTTTCTTTCCAAAATATCAAAGCCTGTGGTAGAAAGAGTCCGCATCAAAAAGAAAAACAAAATGAAGAAACCAAAAAAAAAAAAAAAAAAAAAAAAAAAAAGGAGAGAGAGTGAGTGAGAGTGAGTAAAGAAAGTAAGAAAAAACCAAAGCGAAGGAAAGAAAGCATTGTCATTTACAAAAGATTTCTCTGCAACTCTGTCTGTAAACAAATACAGCCGCGGCATACAGACAACCGATCGCGTCTTTCGTATCCATGAAGCCAAACCTACTCCAAGATCATGAACTCATGTCTCTTATCCTTGGCAAACAGACGCACACAGGCTTCCGTCGCTGTACAGAACTTACGAAACTCAAACTACCATTAAACTAAGGTACCAGAGGGTTGCTCCTGAAAACGGCACACTGCGACTGCAGACGACAGATAGTGTGCATCAGCCTCCAGTACCCTTACCATTGCTCCATCCATGCGTTCCTCTTGAGCAGATATTCTCTCATTCCAAGATAATAGCATAGGCCTCTTCCTCTAAACCTGCATCCACAAAGTTCAACTTGCGCCACATATTCCAAGAACGCTGTGAACAGAAATAATCCTCGCCGAAAACCTCGCATTGGCTTCTCGTTTCTACGCCTTTTTCCTCAATGCATGAAGGCAGGTTTGCTGGATACCGCCATGCTAGAGAGCTACAGAAAGCTTGAAAGGGAATAATCCCCCAAATATCTTTGCCGGACTTAGAACTTGTCACCCGATATCATGGTTACTGCCTCCCCATCATCACAGCCGGTCAGGCTATTCCTTGTCATTGTTTGCATTGGTTCATCCGGGGCATAGGTGTATCCGCATCCCGTCCCACCGCCGCTAGGCCGACTGGTGGCGGCACAGGCAATGGCTAACGAAATATGGGCCCAGGCCTTCCCATTGTGCTGGGATGGGCCAGGCGGGTCTCACCTCAACCTAAGAAGGCTGTTGTTGAACAGGGTGGGAAGCAGATTTGGCGGGATGGGGCGGTGCATGCCAGACAACGAGGTTTACTCACCAGTCACTTTTGATTCAATGATGACTGGGCATAGTTTCCTGCACATTGAAGCTTCTCCATAATAGCAGAGCGCATTGAGCACCTATTATGAGCAATTGTCCAAATGAAATAGTATGGAGAAGGCATCGATAAGTGACTGCTGTTGTTATCCCGGGAGATTGGTACTGTAACATCCACTGTGCATGTTTGTCCCCTTGACCCGGAAGTCTCATCCCATGGCTCCAATCAGCGAGCGGCGGATGCAGCGCGATTTAGCTTTGTTTTAGCGGAAATTGCAAGATTTGACGGTAAATTCACAACCCAACAGTTCGGAGCAATGACTCGGTACAGCACCAATAAAACGAGAGCCTTCGCCATCCCATCCAGCAGCTTAGGCATCTCCCACCAGTCAGAGGTCGAGCGGGGTTTTGGGCAGCATGGGCGCAATGTGTCCCAGGGCGTTCGCTGCCCTGGCCCGTTAGTTTGCTTTTCATAAATCACTGACTCGAACTCAAATTATTATGTTTGACCACCATATAGACACAGAGTACTGGACATCTCACTGAGGCTCAACAGTGCTGACAACGCTTTCAATGTCATTCACCCTAGGGCTCGGGAGCCTGTAGACTGCGTTAATATGGTGAGAACTCCAACACTCGACACGGATGTAGATCAGCCAGATAATCATAATACGTGCTACTCTGTGTATGTACAGTACATTGTAATCCGTAAGTGCTGCGGGGATGCCAAGAACCCGAATTCATCACTATCCCATGCACCGTGCTTTTCGTCATTGCCATCAAAAGCGACCTAAAAACTATGCACAACACAGCCATCCGCACCACCTAGTAATCCCTGAACCCAGAACAACACGGGCCCCTCCCTCGGCCTCGAAATGCTCATTCTTGCAAGCCAGATGGAGCCAGCAATCAGGTCAAGCTAATACCTACCCCTGGTAACCCTCATCTCCCCAAGGAGGCGACGCTTCATCCAGCAGGATAATGGACGTTGTTTGTTGCTAAATGCTTCAGCAGCGACAAATAAATAGTGCTAGCTCGATGGCTAGTGTTCTTGCGCCAGGAATAAGGATTGTCGGGATTCTTTCGTCCATGTGTTGAGAGGTTGTTCAACCGACCGCGGATGAAGCGATGAATCTTTTTCTGCTTCCGCTCTTCTCTCTTTCTTAAAATTGCGCAACTTGTTTTAATGGTTGATGTGGAATTCTATGGCGATGTTCAAATCATTACAAACGTCCCCAAGGCAGGGAGTAAAATGAATGAAGGGAAACAAGAAAAAGTAAGCTGCGAAATGCGCCTTCTCATATGCTGATAGTGAAATGAAAACGATTGAACCATGCCCATTGTGAAAACAGCAATACAAAACGCCGATTGTTTAAAAGAGCGGACCCCGGAGACAAAATAAATTCATGCAGTAACCGCCGGCTGCTTTCTCAGACAGCTGGGTTATGTAAAAAGTACGAGCGCACTTCGTACACGAGAACTTCATTCATGTCTGCTTACGTTTCGGGTTTTTGACCCCAGACGACATAACTGTTGCCTCGATATCAGTTTTGGGGGGGGAAAGAAGAAGAAGAAAATGGAAAATCACCACGATGGGCAGACAGGAATCAATGCTAAAAACAGGCACTCACTAGATATGCAGTGGATGGACTCCCTTCGTCTGCACAGCAGCGCGGACCTGCGCGTTCAGTTCGTCAACCTCTGCTGTGGTCCAGCCTAGTATCTCCGTAAATGGAATGAGCGTGAATGCCTCCACCCCTTCGAGATAGTGTGACGCCATCATTGCCCCAATAAGTTTCTGCCGGGAGCGTTTACAGTTAGACTAGGATCACATTGAGAGAGAATGTGGGATAGAAAATGAGGATGTGGTGTACTCACCAAGCGTTTATTCTTTGGCCACGTGCCTATCGGTAACCTCATTGTGCGCTGCTCGATATTTGTAAATCCGGCCTGTTCCATCCAGCCCTTCAGTGAGGGGGCATGATCCATGGTTATGCCTATTCTCTCCGATGCCAGCCTCAGATTCCGAAGCATTTCGCCCACCTTGTAGTCAGGCGTGACGCTGCCATCTTCAGAAAATATGGTGGATGTTGAGTCTTTGAATTCCACCCAGCCGCCTGGCTTTAAATGTCTAATTGTTTTCATAACTAAATAAGTAAAGGAACGATACGCATATCTCTTATCCTATGGTTAGGTTTTAACTCAACTGATAAAACTTCTTCACCAATCGTGGCCAATCCTTGATAGATCCCATCAAATACCGGCAGTGTATAAAGTCGTATTGTTCCGTTTCTATCCAATCTTCCTCGATATCCTCGACTATGAATTTGACGTTCGGTGGTGCCCTGCCTTAGGGTTAGCTCTGGAGAATATCACAGAAGGGGTGTGAAAAACACATTGTTCCTCACCATCGCGGCTGTATCGGACTTAAATCGACGCCAGTCTATGCGATTAATTCGTTTCAACAGGCTGTCTTTTCCTAGTAAAATACCGAAAAATTGCCAATATGGAAGTGCTCACCAATTCTGCTGAGGGATATAGATCCCCTGCAAAACCACACACGAGTTAGCAGCCCGCGGAACTTGACTTAAAAAATAGCAGCTGCGGATTAAATATTCCCGCATCCGTACCCATTTCAATCGGCCATTTCCCCGTTCCTGTTCCTGTATCTAAAATTCTCTTCCCGTCCGGGTTGAACGGCGCCATGAACAATTTCTCGTCGCACAGGTAGTAAATCGCATAATGGACGAGGTTGAGTCGATCTTGTTCCCGTTCGTCATTGGGGAACTTGTAGTCTGTATATATGTCTCGTCAGCGTCAGATAAATATACCACGCATCACTAGATTCCGGTAAACTTGGATGGTAATTTCGGGGGCCAAAAATACGAAAACGGTTTACGCACTTCCCTCTCGATACCGTCTACCGTTTTTCCATTCGTAGTGGACAATGGAGGAGTGGAGAGATTCGGTAAAGTCCAGCCTTGATTTATACGATGAGAAGAAGGGTCACCAGTGTAAATATAGATTTTTTTTTTTTTTTTTTACATGAAAGGAAATGGGAAGTTCGAGATGAAAACAAAAACAATGGTAGCATACAGTTCCTCGCTCAGTGTTGCTCTGTTTTCCGCAGAAGACTGCCTCAAGCTGATATCAGCGAACATTCCCAGGAGTGTGATTCAGAGCATGCATATATTCATCCAAGCTCAGATTAATGGACGACAAAAGCCGGGCGGGTTATGAGGAAGGCCGTACTTCGTCAACCTCGACTCTGCTGCGGTCCGAAACCCTCTCGCCGTCCAACTCCATCGTAATGTGCGCAGACCAAACTTCACTTCGAAATCGGAAGGCTAAGAACAAATACTAGAAATTAAAATAATATCAGGAAGTCAAAAATAGAGAATTTGTTTTGGTTTGGTTTGATTGTTTTTTTTTTTTTTGTGCCGATTTCTTATCAGGAAGAGACGTCAGAAAGTCGGTGGGAAATGACTTGAGGGCGGCCATAGACGGAGGGCGGCCAAAGCTGTCTTTTGGAATCTGCGGCGGATGCGAGGCGAGCTAATAAATATCTGATCACTCGTCACTTGAAGGGAATCGACTTTGCAGTGGGGGATTTTGAATTCATGGCGGGCAATTCAGTTAGCTTTTGTTTAGAGCAGGCCCATGTCATCATCGTAGCGGCGGCGTTCGCCCCGAAACGATGGACTGCTATTTCATAGGCTCCCGGAGTCAGTCGAGTTGAACTAGCCCGCGCAAGTTCCACCAGAAGAAAGGGTTTGGCTTTGGTTGGGCCCAGGTTGGGTCTGCAGCGCCACGGGCTGTTAGTGATGTCCGCAGTAGTCGGATGTCCCAGGGCTTGAAGCCTGAGGGGGCGTTCGATCTCCAGACGAAGAGACTCAAATCCATGAAATCCATGTCAGGATTACCTTTTCCAACTTTGCAAGGGCGACATCCCACAACTTTAAACCGACTGTGCGGGCTGTGATAGGCCTTGCTGGCAGACAAAGAAAATTTAACCGTCGCAATCGTCCGGCTGAGACGATTACTGCGTGCGCTATGAGTCTATCAGAACAGACTATGCCCTTGGGAGTCGGGGGATCTGCGCCATCAGTATGCGGCCAGGGAGCCACAGCGTAACATCATCTGGGCTTTGTTGCCACAGCTCTGTCGGCATTGGCTGGGGAGTTTGTTCAGGCAGTGCCGAAGGTATCCAGCACAAGCAACATACGCTGATGCCAATGGGGGGGATTGTTGCAGGGCTGCGGGCGCTGGATGGTCCAGGATGGTCCAGGATGGTGCGAACCCTAATAGGTCCCAGGTGCTGCAAAGGAAAAGTTGAAGATGCTATTTCTGATGATTATTATCCTTCATATTCTTCTTCAACCGTGGTGAAGGTTTTCCGTAAACGACGGCAATATTCCAAGAGTCTGGTAGCTGGTAATTAAATTGTTTACTGGAATACCTATCTACTGAAACAATAAAGTGCTGTACTGTGGTGTGTACAATCAAGTAAAAATCAAGATGTAGAAACTGTGCAATCTATTCCGATCTGGCATTTGCCTTCATCCCGATTGATGCCCACTAGCCAAGACCTAATTTTCTTTTCTTTTTTATTTTTCTCTTTCTTTTTTGTTATTTTCCGGTCTGTGCATTTCAATATCTTGATACAAAAAAAAAAAAAAAAGTCAATATCCAGACTCAAGCCCAACCCGTTCCAAACGCGTTGACTCTGCCATCGTTCCGCGCCTTGAATTCGAGTTTCAATTTCCTTCAGTCTTGTTCCCTATCGACCTGGACAATCCTCCCTTCCACCACTGGAGCAATAGCCCGTGTCCACGTTGGCGAAGATCCATCCGTTACGCGCTCCACTAATTGTATTTTGTCAGGGTTAAGTCCGGCTTTCCGTTGCCATTTTCGGACGAATTGTCGAGCCACTATCTCCCTGTGGTCCGCATCCTCGACAGAAAGAGCAGCCGTTGTTACATAGGTACATGGCCGGCTCAGCACCTCAGGCTCTGAGTCGGATTCAGAATCCATGGTGCTCTCATCCTCGCTGATACTGTCTCTGCCAATGTCATCCGGCTGGTCCCGGCGTGAGACCTGATCCTGTGTTTTACCCGGTTGTTGTTTGGGTCGTGGATTGTATTGGAAGCTGGAAAATTTTGGTGGGCTGGCATTGCCGCTTATGGTTGGGTTTGAGATTCGTTTCTCGGGCTGCTTTTCTGGAGAGGCAAGCGGGGAGGTGGCTTCCAACCAGCCGGGCCCGTGCCAGCGTTCATTCACGGAGTCCCAGTGACGATGCATACTGGGGCCTAGCCGATTCCATTTGCCAAGTACCTTGAGACTGAGGAAATACTGTCGGAGAATAGTGCTGATCAGAGCCCCGTTTTCCTCAGAGATGATCTCTTCCACTTCCCCACCCTCGGACTTTGCAAGGAGAACCGTATACCCATCCTTCCCCCGCGCCATGTAGCCGCGTGTCGCGAGCGTGTACAGTTTTTCATCCTCGAGATCATTTCCACCTAATTTAACAAACACAATGCGGGATCCACTTGGTGCAGAAAGTGAGTATCCATATTGAATGTTTGACACCTGGGGGAAACGTCCCTCGAGAGCTGGTAGTTGGGAAACACCATTTTCCAATGCGGCTCTCAGCGCCCGCCCCGTCACTCGTAACACAACCACTGGGTCCTCAAAGGGGAAGCAGCTGAGAATATCCTTCACCCTCAGAGGTCCGGGAGGATATATCTGATCCCCACGAATAGTTCCTGATGCCATCATCGCACAATCCGCATTATGATGAAACCGCATCAGGTCACACACAAAATTGCCAAGGTTAGACTCCTTCCTCCGCACAGTCGAGAACCGCGCATCCAGCGGGTTCGCTGTGTAGCCGACTGGTTTCTGGAGTTTTGCCTTCAGTGCTGAGGTCAATTTGTCCACCAGCTCTACCGTTGCCGGGTCCTCCGGTATTGCTCGAACCACGTCACGGCGGGTGATGGAGAAGTCCCACCCGCTATCGTCCGTCTTCCGCCATGCTTCGATGTAGCTTAGTTGTTTAAAATCCGTTCCCGAGCGGAGTACATGTGTAGAATTGATGAGGCTGTGTCCGTAGAAATGGTCATGGCCGCCTAGGATGATATCAATGAGGCCTGGTGGGGTCCTGGTCGCCAATTTGTTGTCGTTCGGTTCTCGCTGATGGGTCACGGCGACGATGAGATGAGCGCCTTGTGCGCGCAGGCTGGGCACTAGTTCCTTTGCAGTTTCTGACGCGGATTTGTATATGATATTAGGTGGAAGCGCGTTGACTGTATCCAGCCTAAAAATAGAAAGTTGTCAGCTTACGATGTGTCAGTCATTTGTATCAAAATAAACCTATGAAGAAAGCATGGTAATTGTTTTCTATTCTCTTTCCTCTTACCACTCCCTCTCCCCAAGTCCAATAACTCCAACTTTCACACCGTTGGACTCCAGCATGCACGTCTTAAGACAATTGGCCAACGACACCCCGTCGCCCAGCGCAGGGTCAAGCACGTTCGCCAGCAGCCATGGAAACTTGCACTGGTTCCTCAGATGCTGAAATTGCTCAACTCCAAAGTCCAGATCGTGGTTCTGTTAATAAATGAAACTCCATTAGTTCAGACACAAAGATCAACATTTGGTATATTCACTCACCCCAATACATGCAACATCGGTGCCGGCCTGGTTGAGGAATGGCACCATATGGCGCCCTTTCGTAACGGAGCTCTCGAGACTGGGGTTGAAAGCATCGCCTGAGAAGAATGTGAGTAGCGGCGGTAGGTTGGCGAATCTGGGGTGGTTGCGGTAGTAGTTGATGAGGGTCTGGAATCGCGGGGTTCCGCCGATGGGCTCTGCAGAGCCGGCTCTAGTTTGAGTTGAGGAGGTTACGTTGTAATGCAAATGATGCAATTAGAGGAGTGTCTTACTCACTCGACATGGTAGACGTCGTTGTAATGGAGCAGGCGGAGGTCTGGCGGCCCTGTTCGCCCGCAGTCGTAGGTGATGGAGAGCCCCGCCTCCTCGGTGGGCGACATCGTATATGGTGATATTAATGGATGCAATATTCAGCGTGTTAGGTTCGATGTGCTGTGGGATTTCTCGGTCTATCTAAAACTGCTTGGAGAGCTCTGATTTCTTTATTGACGCGCAGACTGAGAGTGGGAGTTTCAAAGGAAGAGTTCTCCTGTTCGTCCGACAAACTGCCAAACTATGCAATCCGGGAGCAGGCGTCCACCAACAGTGTTGGTTTCTCAATGTCACACACATGGATTTGTTGTATCTTTCTTTGAGAATCGCTACTATTATTGCTTCCGCTGCGACTGTTAGCTCCGAGATTGATACCTTGATTTTGCTGGTACATTCATTCATAATAATCTCATTCCAGAGTAGATAGAGCCATCCCCACGTTGAGACATTTTCACCCAATCGGTGATTACTGTGTTATACAAGCGGGATGAGCCTTGATCGCAAGATTTCAATTGACATAGCTACTGCATAATCATACGTTATGGCTATGCAGCAGTGCAGGTACACGATCATATCATTTCATTCATTATTCATGGGATTAATAAATAAAGATATATCCCGAACCGAGTAATCAGCAAATGAGTTCCAATTAAACTCCCGCCAGTCAAAAGAAAAGCATATCTTTTATAGAACCGAAAAATGCACAATAGCTTGGGGTAATTACGCCCGTCGGAAAATGCAAAACCTGGGGAATGGAAAAGAAGACCCGTCATTGAGATGAACGAGTAAGAAAACCCGACTTTGGTACTGTCCTACTCCACACATATAGCGCAGAAGATGCAACAAAAAAACAAAACAAATAGCAAGAGTTACCCGAGATCGAGCAGGTCCCGAAATATAACCTCAAGAGGAAAAATTAAGTGAAAAGAGGAGTGGTGCCAAAAAGAAAACCATTAGAATGAAGAAGGATAAGTAAACACCAATAATCTATTCTATTCTCATATATTCCGCTCGCTCATCGTCCATCGGCGTTTCATCGGCAGCTCACGTTCAGGGGCCGAGACGCTACCCCATAGACCATGCTGGGATAACAATCTCGATGAGACCTGTGGCCGCGGACTTGCCGTTTCTCTCGAAGCAGATATTGGTTTTGGATCCTCGAAATTGGGAACCAGATCGTCTACTGATTCAGTTCGATCGGCTGAAATACTTGACCCGGCGCCCCAAAGGCCGGAGGATGGCGATTTGCTTGCAGAACTGCTGCGAAAGTACGGCGGGGATGTTGCCTCTGAATTGCCTTGTTTTCGAGTCACAGAATCCTCGATAGTGAAATTTTCCTGAGGGTTGGTGGAGCCCGAAGTAGACACGAACCTGCGGTGGTACGCGGAGCTGGAGGCTGGGAAGCCCCGCGGCGAGGACGCCTGTGGCGCATGGGAGGAATTGGCGGTCGTTCGGAGATGCTCCGTCGACGAAACGAATTTCATCTCATACTCGTCTGCTAACTCCTTGGGCGGAGAGTCTTGTTTGGAAGTCGCTACAATTGCGGTTTCCTGCCCAGAATGCTCTGCAGTTTCAGGTTTCCTGACTGCCATAGTCAACGAAGTCATGGCGACATCAAGCAGAACTGGTTGACCCGTTAATGCACCAATCAGCGCATTGCAACCAGCTCCGTGAGATATTAAAATTAAAACAGTCTCCATAGCATCCCCTTCCTTTGAAATCGCATTTGAGGGATCAGCTGTTCCCGGACCTTCAGATCTATACCAGTCTATCATATGTTGGAGTCCATTGCGGAATCGCTGGTGCATCGCGCTCCATTCTTCACCATATTCCCCCCCATTGCCCCAATTTTGAGGATCGCGCATGCTATCCCATTGGGAATCAATGTCAATGCAGGCGTCACGAGCATGGGATACGTAGCCCGTAGGAATTGGATCCGATGGCGAAATAGCATAAGTTGGGATGGGAGGTACGTATCCCGGATAGCCTGCTGGGATATCTGCTGCGATTTTCGAAATTCCAGCTCCTGCTGGCTTCATACCACCATTTGCGCCCGTATCAAAGCTGCCAGAGCGATTCCTGTGCGCAAGCTCATAAGTCTTGGGCGCCACATGCTTGAAAGCTCCACTATTCTTTTCACTTCCATTACCGGATTCGGCTTCTTGATGCTTTGCCGCGCCGCTGGCAAACGAGTTAATCCAACCTCCCGGAAAGTGGCCAAACATTGATTTCCCGTCAGCCTCAAGACCAGCTTCGATTGGTTCACCGCGACGCAAAAGTTCCGCTTTCGCACAGGCAATCATCATCACAGAACCCGGGGGAGGTGAAATATGCTCGAAGTAGTCTGGCGTGAGCCATTCCCCAAGAAATGCGTCAAGTCGAAGTTTGTATTTCGGGACAGGTGTGCTAGGCGACTCGGGAGTTGGCTTGGAGAGAGCAAGGCTAATGCTCGGTTCTGGGATAGCCGAAAGCGGGTTGGAATCGCTGCCTCGAGAGGCGGGGGAGCCTGAATGCAATCGACGATGTTTGTTTTGTGAAGATTGACTGCAGTCAAGAGGAGAATGCTTGCTAAGCCTCATACCCGCGCTAACTCCGATAGCGGTTTGCACACAGCGGAGGAAGGGTGAAGTGTGGATAATTATTCTTTGCTTTCTACTCAATTGGCTCTCCTCGCCGCCATTCGTGCCCAGCCCCACCGCCTTTTCTCTAGCTCGAAGAAGGTCCCTTATCCGAATACCGAGTGCACGGGCTTGATTCCAACCACCGTATGTAAGAGGAGGATCGTAAGGTGTGGGCGATGTTAAATGCCACTGTTTGTCCACCGCATCCAACCGAGCACCGTGCCTGAGGCTCAATCAGCAAAAATGCCCCCTCACAGCAATAGTTGGGTAGCAAAAAGAGAACGGAGAGTAAGTAAACTACAAATCGGCACCAACTAACCTCGCAATAATGATCACAGCTGGAGGTTTTCCCATAGCTGCCGTGAGGGATACCTCACCCGAATTCGGTTTCTATAACAATGCGTCTTGAAGGAGGCAGGTCCGACGGTGGTGATTAGCAATGTAGCCGGAATTGTGGATACCGGGCTGGTAATAGATAGAGTAAGGATTTCCCTGAGCTTCGCCAGCTCATTGTCCTCAGAAGGCTAATATTCCAGCATAATTGACTCGACCTAGTTTTGAGAAACTCGGAATCCAACAGCTGGTCGTCGTGGGGTAGAGGGCGAGTATATAAGCAACAAAGACGCTGCGGGGAATTATATACAAGGAGGGAATGCTGGGCAAAATATAGCTCTAAAATAGCAACGGGTCAACCTGCTCAGAACACCAAGCTTTCGCCTGAAGTTGGCTTTTGAGACGAGATTTTCAATTTAAGTTGTTATTTTGTTGGTTCTGTGATGGAGCTCTGAAGGCGCATGTGATCGCGGGGCAACCAAGATCGGCTTATATAAACAGAGAAGCTTCAGTGACTTAGTTAGCAGACTAACTTAATTGAGTTAGTTTGGAAACTAGTTAACTGTCACGCGAGGCCATCCCAGTGCTTAGGTAATCACCTTCTCTCCACTGCTGTCGTTAATTGTCATCATCCACCATGTTGCTGTGCCTTTTATCCATCCATCCCCAGCTGATAACCGTCCTTTTGAGTGTATACCGTAACTCATCTTTGGTGCAACTTAAACAAACCTCAACCCTTCACTTCGATCCCTGATTCCTCTACCTGACTACTCGCTACATTGTTGTTGCTGTGGTCCCATTCGTCAATTCTCCTCAACCCGATCAATCCTCCTTCCGATTCCTTCCACTTCCTTCCACCGCTTCTGAACACCGTTTCTATCCATTTGCAACCTACAAACTTCCTGGGTATATCAAACCCTTTTGATTCTGTACCCTCGCCATGTCCACCGCTGCTCGCCGCCGCTTGATGCGGGATTTCAAGGTACTATCTTCCATTTATGTTAGCTAACATGGATTTTCCCAACTAACTCACGTCTCTCTGGATAGCGTATGCAAACAGACCCCCCGGCTGGTGTCTCCGCCTCTCCTATCGCAGATAATGTCATGACTTGGAATGCCGTCATTATCGGTCCGGCGGACACTCCCTTTGAAGATGGCACATTCCGCCTCGTCATGCACTTTGAAGAACAATACCCAAACAAGCCCCCTGGTGTGAAATTCGTCAGCCAGATGTTCCATCCAAACGTTTACGGCACCGGGGAGCTGTGTTTGGATATATTGCAGAACCGCTGGAGTCCAACATATGACGTTGCTGCTATCTTAACAAGTATCCAAAGGTATTGTTTGCTGATAATATTTCCTAGTTCAATGCTACCTCCTGCCGAGAGAAATCAATTCTAATAAGATTCTGTTCAATCCAGTTTACTTAACGACCCCAATACATCGTCACCAGCCAATGTGGAAGCGTCTAATCTCTACAAGGACAACCGCCGCGAATATACGAAACGAGTACGGGAAACAGTAGAGAAGAGCTGGGAAGATTAATATCCGAAGCCCATCGACTGGACGCTTCCGCCAGCACACTTGGATCGATGGACCGTAGCATTGCAACTTGATTATGACCTGCGGATGATTTTTTTAGCAATATTTTACCACCGCACCTTGGCAGTTCTTGTGTCTACCTCCCCTCTCGTTGGCACTTCCATCACTGCCGCATTATCCCTTCTCCTCTTTTCTCCCCCTTGTCATAAAATACACATGGCAATGGAGATGATGTTTGATTGATACCTTGTTATCGAACCGATTGCCGTTTTGTCTGACTTTTTCTTCTTCTGCTGCATTTTTTAATTTTTCCTGTTTCTCTTTGCCTCCTGAACTCGAGGCTTCCATATTTTCTCAGCATGGGGTTCTGGCGCTGCTGCTTCTTCTTCCACATATATAATCATCGGTATCTTTTCTTCCTCTTGTCCACTTTTTTTCTAACTCATAGCCTAGCTCTTCTCTAATCAGTCTATATTTTCCTTGTTTCTTGCCCTATATAAATACTGAACAGCGGGAAATAGTTGAATTGTAATTGAATTGATAAATATACTTCGCCATAGGCTTACAGACATACAAACTCTGGCCGCTTGATACTTTACTCCCACTCACTGGATGGTACCTTAGAGACAATGTGATCAAGTTCGCGATAAGGTACTTGTATATCGCCAATCATTTATGTTATATGGTCTACAATCACCATAATAACAAGCTTGCAAAAAGCGCCATCCCATGGCTTGGGTATGTTCCACCGCGTATTAAAAACAAAGCAATATGGTTTTTTAGAGTTTAGGGCAACCAGGTAAAGTTTGTTTACATGTCGTTTTTTTTTTTTAACATCAACAATGACAATAACAATAACAACAATGAATCGCAGGAGTGGGGTTTGTGAGTGTCGAAACATTTGAAAATCCAAGCTCGTAAGGGAAAGGGGAATAGTTTAATAGTAAGAAAATATTGCGTTGTCGTTATCATCAGTGGTACCCAGGCCGCCCAGTACAATGGAGGAGCAAAATGTCTAGAAGAGTCTGTTTGGTCGCGGACGATTTGTTGCGCAGTCTTCGACACGAAACATGTGGACATCCATCCGATAATCTAAATAACTACCACAATATTAAATTGCATCCCCTGAGGTGTTTCAGATTGTGATGTCTGGAGAAGACGGTGATGCATCCGCGCCAAGCCATATGTAGCCTTATTCATAGCCTGGCAAAAACATCCTTTAGTTAGCACATTAACTTTACGCAGCGTACGACCGCCTCGCCCAATCTACGGAGTACATACCTCTCAATCGCTATCCATGCCGCGGGGCACTTCCCACGCCTCTCCACTGTGCCTGTTCTCTGCTCTTTCACGACACGGGTTTAACGCGTCAAGAGCCAACCCAACTCGAGCCCTGACTCATTAGACACTCTCCCTGTCAGTCACCTCGGTCCTCTCCTCCAACACCACCACCACTTCTTGTCCTCCACTGAGACCATCGCTTAATAGCTTAGTTTGGGGGGATACGCTTGCACCCTGCCCTTCGTGGGCTCAGTGCTTTCGTTTTTGCTTTCGTCCTACCGGTGTGAAAGAACGGCGAACGGTGACGGTTCAGTGCCTGTAGTTGAGCAACCATGGCGTATGTAAATCACAAACAGTTTCTCCAATATGCCCGCCCCTTACACGGAATCTCATTGTCATATATCTGCCAATGTCAATTACTCTTTCTGGTTGCTGACATTCGCACACACAGTTCGAGCGGGTCGGGCAGCACCAACACCATCAAGGGTATGACATCAACACTATTGTTGATATTGTTGATATTATAGTTATTACAGTTTTCTTTTCGCTTTATTCCCTCAACATATACAGTGATCATGCTCATACATCAATACAGTTGTTGCCAGATTCCGGCCCCAGAACAAAGTCGAACTTGCCAGTGGAGGGGAGCCCATTGTTGAGTTCGAAAGTGACGACACATGCAAAATCAATGTAAGCTTGAGACTTTTGCTTCTTTATTCTTTCCTTTCCACCCTTGTTGTTCCTTGTCCTCAGGCACAAATTAAAAGGTCCGACTTTTGGAACAATAGTCAAAAGAGGCCGCGGGGGCCTTCACGTTCGACCGTGTTTTTGGAATGGACTCCAAACAACAGGACGTCTTTGATTTCTCCATCCGCTCCACCGTCGACGACATCTTGAATGGCTATAATGGAACCGTCTTCGCCTATGGACAAACTGGTGCCGGAAAATCCTACACGATGATGGGTTCGGATATCGACGATGAAGTAGGCAAGGGCATTATCCCGCGTATCGTGGAACAGATGTTTGCGAGCATCCTTGCTAGCCCGGGAAACATCGAGTATACCGTTCGCGTAAGCTATATGGAAATCTATATGGAGCGCATTAGGGATCTGCTGGTGCCACATAACGACAACCTCCCCATCCACGAAGAGAAGTCGCGTGGTGTTTACGTCAAAGGCCTGTTGGAAATTTACGTCTCTAGCGTGCAGGAGGTCTACGAAGTCATGCGCAGGGGTGATGCGGCAAGGGCCGTAGCTGCAACCAATATGAACCAGGAGTCTTCGCGGTCCCATTCGATTTTCGTCATCACTATCACGCAGAAGAACGTGGAAACGGGCTCTGCGAAGAGCGGCCAGCTATTCCTCGTCGATCTTGCAGGTAGTGAAAAGGTTGGTAAAACAGGCGCCAGCGGCCAGACGCTGGAGGAAGCCAAGAAGATCAACAAAAGTTTGAGCGCGCTAGGGATGGTCATCAATTCACTGACGGATGGCAAATCGACACATATCCCTTACCGCGACTCGAAGCTTACGCGGATCCTGCAGGAGAGTTTGGGTGGTAACTCGCGGACGACTTTGATTATCAACTGTTCCCCAAGCAGCTACAACGATGCTGAAACGATAAGCACGCTCCGTTTCGGAGTACGGGCCAAAGCAATTAAGAACAAGGCAAAGATTAACGCGGAGTTAAGTCCCACAGAGCTTAAAATGCTGCTTAAAAAAGCCCAGGCCCAGGTTGTCACTTTTGAAACTTATATTAATGCGCTTGAGTCGGAGGTACACATCTGGCGGACTGGGGAGACAGTACCGAGGGAACGGTGGACTCCTGCTAGATCCTCTGATGGGCTTAGCAACATGAGGGCCGAACTGCGGGGGACTCCTCGGCCGGGGACGCCGTCTCGCCTACAAATGGATGTCTCAAGATCAGAGACGCCCAGCAGGCCTGATTCAAGGATTGGCGAACGCTCCAGCACGCCTAGCATCCTGCTTGAGAAAGACGAGCGGGAAGAATTCTTACGACGGGAGAATGAACTGCAGGATCAAATTGCAGAGAAGGAGACGCATATTGCCAACACTGAAAAAGATCTTATAGAGAAGAAGGAGGAGTTAAAATTCCTTAAGGAAAATACGATCCGGACGGGTAAAGACAATGAGAAACTTAATGCCGAGGTCAACGAACTGCGGATGCAGCTGGAGAAGGTCTCATATGAAAGCAAGGAGGCGTCAATTACCATGGACACGCTGAAGGAGGCCAACGCTGAACTCACAGCAGAACTCGACGAACTGAAACAACAACTTCTCGATGTTAGAATGAGCGCCAGGGAAACCAGCGCTGCTTTGGATGAAAAGGATAAGAAAAAGGCCGAGCGCATGGCGAAAATGATGGCTGGGTTCGATCTGGGAATGAACGTGTTCTCTGACAATGAGCGCAAGATCCAGAATCTTGTAAACCGGGTGGAAGCGCTGCAGGCATCCAACGCTGCCGGGGATCCGATTGCAGCCGACGACCTGGCTGAGTTTAGGGCGAGTCTTATTGAGGCTCAAGGATTCGTTCACCAGGCGGAGTTGACAGTGAATAACCGAAGCGCCTACCAAGAATTACCGGACAACAAACGGGTGGAGCTTGAGGATCGTATCGCAGGTCTTCAAAGGCGATATGAGGAGGTGCTCGAGAACGGGCTGAGCAAAGAAGACGTGGAAGAGATCAAGACTCGTCTGAGTCAGGCGTATGAGGACCGAGCAGAGCATGAGTCCAAAATGGTCGAAGAGCTTCGAAGCGAATTAACACGACGGGACAAGGAGTTGGAGCGGTTACGACAATCTCTTGCTGAGGTACAGTCCCGTGGGGGGCCCATCAATGGCGCTCCCGGCGCCAATGGCAGCGGCGGACCCGCAGTTAACAGCAAAACGCTCCAGCAGCAGATCGCAGATTTTGACATCATGAAGAAATCGTTGATGCGTGACCTTCAGAACCGGTGCGAGCGAGTGGTGGAGCTGGAGATCTCCCTCGACGAGACTCGCGAGCAGTACAAGAACGTGCTTCAGTCTTCAAATAACAGAGCACAGCAGAAAAAGATGGCGTTCCTGGAGCGGAATCTGGAGCAGCTGACGCACGTGCAGCGACAGCTGGTAGAGCAGAATGGGAGTTTGAAGCGCGAGGTGGCTATTGCGGAACGGAAGCTCATTGCGCGCAATGAGCGCATTGAGAGTCTTGAGGGTCTTTTGCAGGATAGTCAGGAGAAGCTTACTGCAGCCAATCATCGGTACGATCTCTTTCATCTCCCATTTCCATGTCAAGCAACATATATATGTCTAACTTTTAACTTTTCATATACAGGTTCGAAGCACAACTCACCGGCCTCAAGGAACGTCTGGAAGCCGCAAAAGCAGGGTCAACACGTGGCCTCCCATCCTCAGAGACAGGAACGTTCAGCTTTGGCGGCTCACGTATAGCTAAGCCTCTCCGTGGCGGTGGTGGAGGTGTAGCTGACTCAAGCGGCGGGCTCGTGAACCCCACCCTTTCTGGGCTGCAGTTGCAGGACGCTTCCAGCTCCGGTTCAGGTTCGGGGGGAGGGAAGCGCACCAGTTGGTTCTTCGATCGGCGATGAAGTGAATCAAGATTCGTTGTGGCCGGTTTGACCACCTTTGAATAGGGTTGGGGTGTTCGCTTATAAGTCGCGATTAGACTTCGGTGCACCAGTTGGTGTTTTTGTGTTTCGTCGGCGCAACTGAAGAGACGAATCTATTTAAGGTGGAAAAAAAGAAAGTGCGGTGACTGCTACCCTTTTCCTCTGAGGCTTGTTGTGGTTGTTGCAGAGATGGGGGAGAATTTCATATTACCATTCTTATCGCTGCCATCGTGTTTGTCCCGCCTTCCGAGATGGCGTATTTCATTGTAGATAGATTCATTTGTGAAACTTTCTTCTTCCATGTGACAGCTTCCCATTTCCCCCCCCCTATACCACCACGCCATTTCGTTCGGATTTGGTTCCCTTCCTTTTGTTTGGCTCATTTTTGGACATCCTTCACTCACGTACTAGAGCTTCTCCACCTCATTATCTTCCATGTTTTCTTTTTCTTTCATATGCTAGTGTAGACGAAGCACGTTGTATGTTCAGGAGTGCTCCTTCTATCCAGTGAAGCTAGTTAGTTAGGTGTTGGAGGGATTGCATTGGTTCGTCTCGTGTACTACCAGCATGCCTCGGGTGGTGATTGAGCTCTTTTGCCCTAGTATTAGAATCCTAGATGACCTTAAGTTACGTCAGCATAACCTGCACACCGAGTCCCAGCACGCTGGACATCTTGACATCTCGACAACACCAACGTCGTAACAATCACCTTGCGATTGGAGCCACCCTGTCTCATTTGCCCACTCCAGACATCATACTCCACTTGCATAACTGTGCACAGATCCGCCGCCAAATCCATTATTTGTTCTATGATATGGGTGCCGGCCAGTCCAAGCAGGTCGCTGCGTCGGCTGTTGGGCGGGAAAAAGGGGAGATTGCACAGTGCATGTCCAAATTGAGCGTGGCGGGGAAGATGCAAGAAGCGTTGGAAACTTATGTCTGTGTTGATGAGGATCGTGAGTATAGAATATCTCGCTTAGAGTCTTTTCTTAGTTCCATGTCGACAACTGACCGTGCTCCGTATGCTTATAGCCCCAACCTACTCCTCATCGAAAAGAAATACCACTTTGTCTATATCAGAGACGAAACATTGGGAAAAGGAGTTGCTGGCCGATCCCAAGGTAATCGATACTCGGCATGCTGCATTGGCCTTTACGGATATCCCCCTAATATTCATACTTCACTAGAACCGGCTCGCCTTATCCGCTCTATCATCGCACTCCCCCACAACCATTATAGCTAACCACGCTGCAGAAATAGCCGATACTCAGGTCTTCAATATCAGGATCCCGCTTGAAGGCGCTCCAATCACCAATCAGCACTCCTCCGGCCGTTGCTGGCTGTTCGCATCCACCAACGTGTTCCGCGTGGCTTTGATGAAGCTGTATAATGTGAAAAGCTTCGAGCTGAGTCAGGCGTATCCATTTTTCTGGGATAAGATGGAGAAGGCCAATTGGTTCTTGGAGAATGCCATTGACACGGCTAGTGAGGCGTTGGATGGCAGGTTGGTGCAGCGTCTAATGTCAAGCCCCATGTCGGATGGCGGTCAGTGGGATATGGTCACGAATTTGGTTGGGAAATATGGATTGGTGAGTTCCATGTTTAACCAAAACTTTAGATCATAAACTAGGAGAATTAACGTAGTAAATATGCAGGTTCCGAAGGAATTATACCCTGATACCTATAATGCCAAGAGTAGTTCGTTCTTGGGCAAACTTGTCACCACAAAACTGCGTGAGGATGCGCTTGTCCTGCGCAAAATGGCAACTAGTTTTGATCCTTCTGTCAGGGCATCCATTGGTGATACGAAGAAAAAGTTTCTGCAGGAAATTCATTCAATCCTGACCATTTTACTTGGACCGCCGCCATCCCCCGAGGAGAAATTTACCTGGGAATATTATGACGCGAATGGCAAGTTCTGCAAACTATCCATGACCCCCTTGGAATTTGCATCGAGCCTTTCAAGTCGTGAAGGTCTTAGGGCGTGTAAAGGGACGGACGTGAACGAGCTATTTAGCCTGGTCAATGACCCAAGGAACTCCTATGAGCGACTGTTGACTGTCGATCGGTTGGGGAATGTTGTCGGCGGCCAGCCGGTAACCTATGTCAATGTTGATATGAATGTAAGCGTTTTCTCTTTCCCTTGATTTACGAAGTGTGCATTTCACCTCTTATAACATACATCATCTGCAGACTATAAAGGCTGGCGCCATCGCAATGCTCAAAGCCGGAATCCCTGTCTTCTTCGGCAGCGACGTTGGGAAATACTCCAACTCAGCATCGGGCATCATGGACACTGCACTGTACGACTACTCTCTGGGCTTCAACGTCAACTTAGGCATGAGTAAGGCCGAGAGGCTACAAACGGGAGAATCATCCATGACGCATGCCATGGTCCTGACAGCCGTACACATTGGAGACGACGGTAAGCCCCTGCGCTGGCGTGTAGAGAATTCATGGGGTGACGCCAAGGGTGACAAAGGCTGGTTCGTTATGACGGATAAATGGATGGACGAGTTTGTGTATCAGGTTGTCGTTGATCCGCGGTTTGTGAGTCAGGGAGTGAGAGACGTGTTGAAGCAGGCGCCATTGACGCTCCCGCTCTGGGATCCGATGGGAGCACTGGCTTGATTTCTATGATTTACGATTTTGGTTACGCTATGATACCTCTAATTTTCGCTTATTACATAGTCGCCGTGGAGTATTTCGGGATTTTTTCTATATGATTTCAGCGATCTTTGCCCTCTATTCTGTTTGGTGGGTATTACTGGCCGGAGTTGGTGAGCCCTGAAAGGCGTTGCCTCCGTTATGCTATATACCATGATTCTTGATAACGTTGCAGCTCATTCCCTATAAGCGAACTTAGCCGGAAGCTCTCCCCATATTGAATTGGTATTCATCTGTTTTGTTTCTAGCCACGTTCAAGTCGACTGATTACTTGATTAGAAATTGATTGACACAATTTCCAATTGACTTCCAATTGATTTATTTATATAATATTTATGTTATTTTTCTTGAAAAAATTTATACAACGACATTACTATCGCTCTCCTACTATTTGTCTTTGTGTACATGTAGTTGCCGTTTCCATGAGCCTGGCAGGAATTGCCAGGTTGAGTGGAGATCAATATATCTTCACTACGGAATACAAATACTAGCCCCTAATTGGTTCACGGGCCACAAATTTAGGCTAGCACATGATCCACGCATAAAAATAAATCCACTCCGTCAGGGGAATATTAGCCGAGGCAAAAAATGTTCGACATTGCGGGGCGCTAGACCGTACTGGGAAGCAGAAGTCACATGCTCATAGCATCCGCTTAGTCACGGAGAATAGGTGGGGGAGACCGTGGTACATGCAACGCTAAGAGAATTATTTCTCTCCTCAATCAGCTCCAGCAGCTAACACTTATATATATATATGTATTTATGAAATCTCGTATATCTTTTTCGTCTGGGATAGCCCTTCCATTCTTTAGCTTTTCCCTTTCCTGGGCGCGTTCTCCTTCCTATCCCTTCTAGCGTACACCATCACACCCTTCACACAATGCAGTGCTCTCTCAGTACAGCCTCCAGATTCTCCTCAAATGCCTCTATGGTGAGGTCATCACAGAGATTGGGCCAGGTCCAGAGGCATTTTTCCTCTTCCAGCTCCTGCCAGAAGCAAATACAGGAGGCCTACATCTTGGGGGCTGCACGTACACCAACTGCCAAGGTAATTCTGTCGCTGGATATTTGTATAATGCTGAAGATCCGAGAAAGAAAAGAACATGAGAAGCACAAGAAGAATAGCTAACTATCCCAGTTCAATGGCTCCTTTGTCACCGTCCCTGCTCCTGAGCTGGGTGCCGTAGCCATCAAATCCGCCATCGAAAAGTCCGGAGTACCCCCCGAGAAATTCACCGATGTTTACATGGGCAATGTCTTACAAGCATCTATCGGCCAATCCCCTGCGAGACAGGCTTCCATCTTTGCTGGCCTGGCTCCAACCGTCGAGGCCATCACCATCAACAAAGTCTGTGCCTCCGGCCTCAAGGCTGTCGTCTTCGCCGCACAGAATATCCAGCTCGGGCTGGCAGAGGCACAGGTTGCCGGTGGCATGGAAAACATGTCAAGAGTCCCATATTACCTCCCGCGAGCTAGCCAACAGGGCCCATTTGGCAATATGAAGCTGGAGGATGGCCTGATCAAAGACGGCCTGTGGGACGTCTACAACCAATTCCACATGGGGGTGTGCGCGGAGAACACGGCGAAGAAGTACGAAATCTCTCGCGAACAGCAGGATGAGTATGCCGTGCGATCCTACAAACGCGCGCAGAAGGCGTGGGCGGAGAAGAAATTCGACGACGAAATCGCCCCCGTTACCGTCAAGGGAAAGAAAGGAGACACCCTCGTGACCATCGATGAGGGCTTCGAAGATTTGCGCGAGGAAAAGATGAAATCGCTCAAGCCTGCTTTTGTCCGCGATGGCACAGGGACCGTCACTGCCGGCAATGCCTCTACTTTCAACGACGGCGCCTCCGCGCTAGTAATTACCAATAAGCAGATTGCTCAACGGTACGGCACAACGAGTAGGGTTCTTGCACGCATCGTATCGTCTGCTGATGCCGCTATGGATCCCATCGACTTCCCCGTCGCGCCCGCCAAGGCTGTGCCTATCGCACTGGAGCGAGCGGGCCTAACCAAGGACCAGATCTCTATCTGGGAATTCAATGAGGCGTTTGCCGCTGTCATTAAAGCTAACGAAAAGGTATCTTCTAGCTTTTGCTTTTTGTCCCTACCAAAACCCTATTGCATTTCTAACCTTTTTACCTTTACCATGTAGATCCTTGGCCTCGAGAACGCGTGTGTCAACCCCCTTGGTGGCGCCATCTCCTTGGGCCATGCTCTTGGAAGCTCTGGTTCCCGCATTCTCACCACCCTGCTTCACCAGTTGCAACCGGGCCAGTACGGCCTCGCGGCCATCTGCAACGGCGGTGGAGCAGCTACTGCCGTGGTCGTCCAGAGAGTGGAAAAGGTCGAGTAGGAATGGGGGATTTTTGGATAACATGTCTGTTCATTGTTTATTATAAACAGTATGTATATCTGTGTATGTATGGAGCTTATATGAGTATGTGACATTAGTTGTGTTGTTATTTTCCTTTCTCCTGTTTCGTTCTATACTAAATAAGCTGCCAGCGTTTTGCCATTATATATCAGCACACAAAATGGCATGTATTACAATCGAACGGATTTCCAAGCTCCCAAGTGGTGCAGCGTTTCTTTGCCTACAATATGGCTTGCAGCAGGAACGGTTTGGTCTCACTTTGTATACTTTCCTGTAGTTCCTAGCATAACCTTTAACAATATTATCTTCACATGTACTATACATGATAGATAAAAATAAAGAAAGAAATAAAAATAAAAAAAATCACTCAACACAAGATGAGGAATATATATTCTGAAGTGAATAAATATTCTCCAATACGTAGCGCAGGAAGTAGTTAACTACGAGTCTAAATTAGATTTGTAGGTTAAATTTCAATCGCCTTCGATCTCTCTTCTTCACTCATTGAAGTAAAACAGCGGAAATTTGCGGTTTCACCTAGGAAAGGTATTGTCAGGCCAAGCAGCTTTTTGATTATGATATCCCGTTTTGGTAACTATGTATTCTCTTTCTCCTGAGTTTGGCCGCGGCAGCCATCCCTGCTAGCATGCGACAACCATCACCATCCACACCCCTCCCAATATGTTCACGAGTGTCCAACGATAGTCCAGTGTTCTTGGCTGACACGGTATATGGAGGGATATGATGCAGAGAAGATGATATATACGATACTACACCCTTTCCGATTCCCCCTAAATCCAAGGCCAGGTACTCAAAATTTGTTTCGTCGGTTGGCATTACTTCAGTAATTTCAATCTCAGTCATTGAAGCATTATCACTGTCATCGCTATCACAGATAGAAAACATCCAGCAGGATAACAAAAGAGCTGTCTGATATAAATGTCTGGACTGCGATCGCTGGCTCTATAGTATCGTCGAGGGATAACAATGAGTGAAAGCGCCGAAATTAATTATACATAACAACGCAGAAGTGTAATGCCGTTGATGTGGCGGGGAATGGGGTGTGTTAAGGGATAATAAAAAATCTTCAGAAATGTACCAATAGAAAACTAAACAAAGAAGCAATCGCAACAAAGGAATGTAAAAGGTCAAACATAAGAGCAATAAAAAGCGTCAAAAAATATGTATATGCCGCGATATATTCCATCCATCCATCCATCCATACATACATAGTCGTTACATGCAAAATACTAGGTCACCGGTTTATTCCCGCCACCACACCAACACCTGTTTTCTCCTTCGCGTTCCACCTGAACTAGGATATTGATGCCTTTCTCGCTTAAGTAGCTGATCGTCCGCCGCCGGACGTCCTCCATATCCGCCCCACGCGAGGCAATCACATGTATCACCCCTTGAATTTGTTGGCCCGTCCCTCCATGCCTGGGCGTGTGTTCGAGGGAATGCTTTTCCTCACTGGGGTCTATGTTGCTTTGGTGATGTGTATGGGAATGATGGCCATGACCGTGATTGTGGTCATGGTCATCGTGTCCGTGATGATGGTGATGGCCAACGTGGCCATGCTTATGGTCATGATCGACAATATCGTCTAACCAGAATTTTGGAACGGAATACCCAGCGACTCCACGTAGAGTACTCACACCAGCTAATGCATCGCGTAGGCCATATTCAACATCCGCCGGAAGGGCGAGAAGTAAGGTTTTCGATGTGCTGGCCACCAACGGCACGGCAGAGGCAAAGATGAGAATGGCTATTAAACACGATGCGATGGGGTCGAATCCAGACCACTTGTAAAAATGCACGAGGACCGTGGACAGAACCACTGCCACCGACCCAAGAGTGTCGGCGAGGATGTGGAGGAAAATACCATGCATGTTTTCGTTGGTATGATGCGAGTGTAGATGCCCGGTATCGTGGTCGTGGCCACCGCAGGAGTGCGAATGCCCATGGTGATGGCCGTGGTCAAACGCCATTATCCCCACCATGTTGACAGCTAACCCAGCTACGCTCACAAAAAGGAGCTCCCCTATCCGATGGACCTCACTTCCAGACACGAGTCTTTCAATGGCCTCGTAGACAATTTCAATACTTATGATCCTGTAAACGGTTGTTAGGGACATCTTTGTTAGGTTTTGCGACAGTCATGCCAAAACTTACATGAGAAAGATGCCGTTGGCGAAACCGGCCAACGTATCAACCTTTCCGTATCCATAAGGAAATCTTACGCTTGGAGGCCACTTACTCATCACGGCGGCGCATAAACCTACTGCGAGCGCAAAACAATCGAATAACATGTGAATGCTATCGCTAAGTAAGCCGAGAGAGCCAGTCAAAATTCCATAGGATAACTGGACAAGCATGAACCCAAAATTTAAACTGTAAACAAGGAAGAAGAGTCAGTCGAAGCTGGTTATAATATGTTATCTCCTGGAAGGAACGTACCACATAAAATAGAATATCTTCCGCGAATCTTTTTCCTTGAGGATCCCATATATGAAAGGCCAATGCTCGCAGGTCTTCAATAACCATCTAGTGATTCGAGAGGGAGAGTTTTCATTGCTGTGGTGATGATTATGGTGGTACTCTTGATGTCCATGCATGGCATGAGAATAGTCATTGGTCTCTGATTTCACCGTCCTAAGATCCAGGCGAACGAAAATATAACTAAGAATGGTGAAAGAGCAGGTTGACGCAAGGTCTGAAAATTCCATGGGAGATACAATAGCACTGACAACAAGGGAGAAACCGGAGCCTGCAATGAAGCCTATCTGGTGTTTACTTTGGAACGTTTTAGGCTCGATACTTAGAAAGGATATTGCTGAGAATAGCCCTACCATCAATATGCTGGTTAAAGAAGGCAGAGCGATATTAATACCGCCAGACATAATGGCCATGAGTAAGCAGAAGCCTGCTAAAATGCTGCCCCCTCGGAAATATTGGTTTGTACTGACAAGTGCAGCTGGCGAGGCTGAGAAGAAATTACTCTGGGTTTGACGGGCAGAATCAGAAACTGAGGACTCGTAGGTTGACTGGTTGGGATGGGCTATTGAAGACGGCTTTCGCATATTCATAAAAGGGGGTTGAATAATAAATACTGAGAACATAAGAGCAAGATATCCTCTAAGAATCAGTAGCCAGTCAGTGGATGATGTGACCCCGACGGTATCTAGAACCATCATTCCAAGCAGGAAGAAAACCGTTCCATTGCGTTGTGTTAAATGAAATCGGAACTGTTTCTGGTGATCGTTGTCATGATCAAGCTGGACAATCGGGGATACTCTAGAGACTAGCAGGAGAAGCATTGTGATGGAAACTCTTCCATGGCCCAGGAATAGAGTCGCATAAAATGGCAGACCGATGGCTATCATCACAAGGAAAATACTCCGGGGAGATAGCACAGCCGCCCCAAGAGATTTCGTTTTGCCTGTTGGGTCATTCAAGAGATGCAACTGGGTTTTCTTTCGCATTTCGGTGTAGAGGCCTATTATAAGCATCGTGATCGACACCAGCGTGCAGGTCATGAGAAATTCTCTTCTCGGAGGAGGGTGTATCAGGCCGAATTCTACAGACTCGTCCTTGACATGTCCTCTGGGATCGTGGTTTGGAGAATATATGTTTATGAGCAATGAGGATATGAGGTAGGGAGTGGGCACTAGCATGCCTGCAATGACTTCGCTAGAAAGAAGCCTAAAGGCGTAAACCTGGTCAGTATTGATGTACTTGATCCGTCGCAATTCAATCATGACAAAACTGACTTGCTCATAAGAGAGGCTGACTGCTCTGAAATCTCCGGCGCGGCACCCATTCCCTCGCGCATCGTAGCGGTCGAGGAGCCCAACGGCAACTCCGACAGTGAACCGCCATTTCCATTGACCGGATCGCGCTTATTGACCTGTGCAGGCACATTGTTTTGAAAAGTTGGCGATCGCGGTGATATTTTGGGAGGATAGCCAGCAGAGCCGAAAATCGAATGCGAAATGGGCTCGATGGGAGTGCCACCAGCATGATGCTGCGGGCTTGGATGAGCCGAGAAGTTGTTCGAAGGAGGGACGGGGGGCCCTGCGTAGCCCTCGCGAGTGCGCCGATGGCCTGGAGCCGGTGGTTGGAGGCCACCACGGGCAGGATTGGCCATGGACGGATATGATGCTACAGGCATTATTCAATTTTCTCCATCATATTAGAAATAAAACCAATATTTCCAACAACGTTAGACGACCGTGTTGGCCGTTCGATGTGTGACGAGAATGTAATATCGAATTGCTATTAAACTCCGTCAATTGTCGAATAAGAGACGAGCGTTATCGCCAGTATTCAATCCGATGCTGTGACCTCCCAACAACATCCCGCAGTTAGCTGTCTATATTCTCCTTGTCCGTGTCTGCGTGCTGGCCGTTGTCGGTTGATGTTGCTCCAACCGTCGGCCCAAACATCTGGGATCCAGTCCAGGTCACATGATTTGTTGGAGTCAGGCGAACTTTGGCTTGAGGGATTGGATTTGATTGGATTAGGTGGTTCGTCCGTTCTACGACAAGTTGGCGCTGGTGGAAATCAAGCTCGTTCGCGCCAGAAGTTCGAGATGTTGGGGATGGTGAGGTTCTGCGATTAGTAATCTCGTGCAGCTTCGCACGGCTCCCATTGGCCTGGGAGGAAGCCTCGGTTATCTGTTGTGAAGACACTCAGTCCACTCTGTTGCCACAGTAGGGTGTGTTTATTGCTTCCTTTGGCAAGCAGGGGATACAACGTGTTTTCTACAAGTTTAACACTAACGATGTCTATCTGCTTTTCTGTTTGCCTGTTAACTGTCTGCTTACAAACCTGCCTAAAATTGTACAGAGATTGAAGATTGAAGACTGGTCACATTCCACCCGACTATCCGTCCTGTAAGCTTAATGAGGCCGGTGGTGTCGTGTTAACTACTCACTAGGTGTCCCAGAGGGGCGCAGGATTGAATCCTGCGGAGCTCACTTAACCAACTCCCACTGTTAAATCACAAAACGGTACCGGAAGCTCCCAGCCTTGACTGGGTGTAACCAGGTGCTAATTCTGACTGACCTTCTGGGGCTAGAACCCCCCAAGATGCGTATCTATCCAGTACTGATCTAACTTGATGGTGGCGTGGTGGTGGAGCAACCCGCAGGATGGCGAATCGTTGTCAAGCTTAACTGGTCGGAAATTCACCACCATTTCACTCACTAACTATCTAGACATCTCCAAATTCTGGGAAATTAACATTTAAAAACTACCTAATCAGGGCATCCAGGGCCCAGCAAAGACCTAGATGAGACAAGGCCTAGGTGCTCTCAATAGATGGTTAGAATAAGCAAGGCCATGACCACCAATTGATAGACCAGAATACTGAGATTGACAGCTGGAAGATTGAGGGATTTAACTAAAACTGAGTAGCTCTGATGTCATTCTTAGTGAGAATCCCACTTAGATAGACTAGTTAAGAAACTCAGATGAGTGGCAGTGTTCTAGGAGGAAAGATATCCTCTAATGATGATCTGAAAAGACAAAAATGGTGGTTAGTTATATAGAGTGTTAAAATATTGTAGATAGCTCAAGTTATAAACTGCAGGGGTTTGTTCTGTAGATTGTATTCATTTACTAGTGGTTTATTCCTTTTATTCTTGTTTTACTGTTGTCATTCTTTAATCTCTTTTTATTTAGTAAGCTTGAGTGAATTGTGATTTTGTAAGAAGTATCTTTTGAGTGTTGATTGATTCTGAGCTGGAATTTTGTATTGTAAGTGAAAGTGAGTATTTGTAAAGCAATTAGAATTAGAAAAATCCTGAGCAATACTCAGGTGGGTGTCAGAGTCTCTGACTGGATATACCCTGATTTGAAGAAGAATAATAATAAATAACAATGTGAGCTTAATGGATAAAGAAAGCGATAATGGATGCACGCTTCTTCCCTCAAAAACAGAATTAGTATGCAACGGAATATGACCATCTCTGGCAATCGAAATGTAGGAGGTGATGGACGCAAGTATCAGTTGTCTCTTTGAATCCATTCCCTTTTAGCGGACTTCCTACATTAAAAGTTCAAGTACGAGTGAGTGTCCGGAAAAAAATTCGCTGGGAAGTACCAGCATTCGGCACGCCGATACCCCATCTTCAACCCAGGTACCGGCATGCCGAGATCCAGGGCAGATCTATTGGGAACGGAACGGAATATCAATTTACCGATAAGGCTTAATATAGCCAGCGGAGAATCCATAGTTAGAGCTTCATTGTCATAGAACTTCATCATAGACACGTATATCATCAGGAAAGGCATTGCACGTTTGTCTGGCTCAAGCTGTAGGGTTGTTTTAGAGCATGGTTGCCCGGCGCATGGCGATTATCTGTGCTCATTTCTTGACGAAGCCTACGAGTTCGTGCTGCTCCTTGCAGTTATGCTTCTAGCGATCGTGGCAGGAGTATTGCTCTCCCTGGCCATTTCTATACCGGTATTGATATTTATCTCACCATCTCGCTATGGTCGGAATATACCCACATCTCCAGGTTTCCCATCAAAATCCAAAGAACCGATTCTCGAACCTCCTTCTGTTCAGATCGTCGTGCTTGGAGATATTGGTCGCAGCCCACGGATGCAGTACCATGCATTGAGTTTCGCGAAACATGGTGGAATTGTATCAATCATTGGACATGCCGGTACAGTGTTTACTGGTTTCATTGCTTCTCTATTTTAGATCCTAAACACTGACCCTGTGTTCCGATTGTTAGGTTCCAACATCCACCCAGATCTGGTGGACCATCCTCGAGTCTCCATTATCTCTTTAGCCTCACCTCCAAGCTTCCTACAAACTCACAACAAGTATCTGTTTCCATTTGTTGCTTTTCTGAAGTTGTTACACCAAACCTGGCTTTTGTGGCTTGCCTTAGCATATCACTCCAGGCCCGCACAATGGATGTTGGTTCAGGTCAGTTTCCATCAGTATATGAGCTTTCCCGTTATTGATTTTCTCTTTCTGCATGTGGTCTGCACCAATTCGTCTGAGATGACATCGTCTCTGAACTTACTACTGAAATATCCTTTAATTGCCCTCCTCAGAACCCACCCACTGCTCCAACTTTAGTGGTAGCCCAAGTTGTTTGCCAACTTCGCAAAACGAACCTCGTTATCGACTGGCATAATTTTGGGTACTCCATCTTGGCGTTGAAACTTGGTGATGGTCACCCAATGGTTAAGATAAATAAATCCCATGAGTCCACATTTGGTCGTTTCTCCTCTGCACATTTTTGCGTTAGTAATGCCATGGCAAGGCGGTTACGTGATGATTTAAAAATCAAAACACCTATTCTCGTTTTGCACGACCGGCCACCGTCCTGTTTCCAGCCTTTTCGAAATGACGAGCAAAAGTATGCGTTCCTGTCGTCTCTTTCGGAAACAGCTGAATTCGTCGGAGATCTGAGGGCGGGAACTTGCCGTCTTCTAGTCAGCTCTACTTCATGGACACCGGATGAAGACTTTTCGATTCTAATCGACGCATTATGCCGCTATTCAGCCATGGCTTCGACAAGAAACCTTGGCCTCCCACGGTTGGGCGTCATCATAACTGGGAAGGGTCCACAGCAGCAAATGTACCTTTCCCGGATTGCAAAATTAAGAGGCCAGGGCAAGCTTGAAAACGTGAAAATTAAAACGGCATGGCTAAGTTTAGAAGAGTACGCTCAGCTTCTCGCGAGCGTTTCTCTTGGTGTATGTTTGCATACTAGCAGCAGCGGCGTTGACCTACCAATGAAAGTTGTGGATATGTTTGGAGCTGGACTCCCGGTGGTCGGCTGGAACAAATATGAGGCATGGCCAGAATTGGTATCTCAAGGAGTCAACGGCCTTGGGTTTGGGAGCACCGATGAACTTGTTACTCACCTGGTTGATTTATTTGGTGGGACCGAGGAGAAACTCTCCTTACTTCGTCAAGGTGCACTCCAAGAAAGCGAACGGCGATGGGATGACGAATGGGATCCAGTTGCTGGAAAGTTATTCGGACTACCTTACAATCCCTAGACCAAAAATATCTACATGGGTACATCTGTCCGTCCTTGATAGGAAGATACACACAAGTGGATACTACCACTTCCGTTAAATGATCCATCAATATTTATTACTTATTTGACAGCAGCTGTTATTTGCGGGGTGAGGAAAGAGGGTGAATTATATAATAATATATAGTCTTTTGGTTCGCGCTCCAGGATCCACAGATACCAGGGAATTTCTTTCCTCCCAAAGTCTCAGGGCATCTCGATAAACCGTCCATCAAGTCCTTGCTCTCTACTTAGCCAGTTAGAAGTACAGGAACTGTACATTCACGCATCATGAATGTACTGGGAGACAACAGGTAGCGAAACTACCCTTTGAATTTCAACAATATCAGCATTCTGTTTTGGAAGGATGTTGATACGAAACCGAATCTTGGCCATCTCTCAGTTATCCAGGTGTTATCTCCTTCACTTTCAACCTGTGTGAATCATGCACCTAACTATTTATGGCTTGAAGATCATGCTCGCATTTGTTATTTCCAACCGCCTTCCTGATGGGAGCTAAGCTACACATACTCTTGTGCCAGCAAGAGCTCAAAAATAGACAAAACATTCCTTAAAGATCACCTCCTAGAAGACTTTTTATATGGGGTTGTCTTTCAATTAGTATACAGAATAAGCATTTCCGATGTTCTACGGCATAATCAAAGGCTGTGAACCTTATTATGTACGCACTGCATATGTGAGGACTCGAAACTCCCTCACAGCATCGAATTGCTCAGAAGAGGTTTGGCACCAACTTCGCCCATCCGTCTGACGCCGCTGAAAAGCCACTTGAACCTTCGCTGCCTCGTCAGACTTGGCGGAGCACCAGCACGGTCCCTGGGTAGCGTATCAGCACAAGAGATGCATGACGATCTCAAAGGTTATGAAAAACCGGCACGGGCATCCCCTGTTGTCCTATCTGCAAAACTCTCCTATACGTTGACCTCCGCAAGCAATGGTCCGAGACCACAATTATTTATGCTCAAACTCTGCTGGTTTAGTTGAACCTTGAGGAACACCATTTCGAAGAATTGTTGCTCTCAAGCCTCCAGTTCTCTGAATATCGATCCAGCTGAACGGCTCAACTTGAAGCCACCACTCGATAGGATTTAGTGTTGTTACTTAGTGCGGAATGCAAAGTTTTGAGGATGACATCTTCACGTTTCCTCACGGTTCGAGAGCACCCGTGCCGACCACATCGTTCCAATTCACATCAACATTCATATATTGCCTTTTCCCATATGCCAGCAGCAGAAGGCCTGAGATGCATTTGTACTGTAAATCGCACGGGCTGGGGGAAACCGGGCTAACATTATACTTTTTCATCAATCTTTTTAACAGTATTCCTGACCACCTATCGAATATATAAAACAACGGTTTGGAAGCCCCCTTGCCTTTCCCATCAACTGCACCTCATCTACTCAATCTATGGGGATTCCGGCCAGACGTTCAGACGACGATGACATCAGCGAGGGATTCTCAAAATAAAGGGCCTCTTATTCTTGTGGTCATGTGGGTTGTAACCTGCCTTACCACTGCGGTAGTGGCGACGAGGCTCTTTGTCAGATCCAGAATGGTGCGGATGGTTGGACTTGATGACTGGCTGATTTTGATATCCATGGTATATTAAAATGTTTCTGTCTTCGCCATGCCCGAATATTTTATCATATTCCCTTTCGAGTATTTTCGATTCAGTTCAGTTCAGTTCATCCGCATTTTACCTTTTATTTAATATTTACTGTTTGATCGTGGATGTGGCGAGCTCACTAACCACTTTATATTCAAACCAAGATCTTGAGCTTTATCTTTGTCGTGTTTGTTACGATTAGCATACGTTATGGATTTGGAAGACATGAGGACACTCTGACGCCGGAGCAACTCCGCGGTTCAAGACTCAATGCTCAGATCGGCTCACTCTTCGGAATACTCGCAATCTCATTTCCGAAGCTCGGGGTGGCGGCGATGCTCAACAGGATTCTTGTTCCAACTCGTTTCCACCGCAATGTGGTCTGGCTCCTGAGTGGATTTAGTCTGCTGGTCGGCTGCATCTGCTTTCCTGTCCTCATGACTATTTGCCGCCCTCACCGGGCAACGTGGGATAAACGCGTCAAAAATCCCAAGTGCAGAGACCCTTCGTCATCCACTAACTATTTGATATTCGTTGGAGGTTTGTCATATCCCTCTAACACCCTAAGCAGGGACTAGCCGTATGGAAATGGCCTATGACGCATTGACTGATATATCTCTTTAATATAGCGGTGTCTGCGTTCGTGGATCTGTACTTCGCAGTGTATTCAGTGGTTGTGTGCTGGCAGCTCAAAGTATTGGTATTGAAAAAAATTGCCGTTTGTGCAGCACTGGGACTTGGTCTAATGTGTGTGATTCCCGTGCCATTTTGTTCTGTCGTGGACGACCACTTCTCACCAGTCATTGTCTTTCACAGTGCTTGCGCCGTGGCGATTGTCAAATGTGTGCACCTGCCAACTTTGAAACAGAGAGTCGACACCAGTTGTAAGTTGCTAACCGCCCGCGGCACCCGGGAGCTCGCATGGAGGGACTAACAGCAGATGTCCTACAGACAGAAGCAGTGATTTGATAATTTGGACCCTGTAAGTTAATATCCCCGTTTGCCCCAATCCTTTCGCCCCTCGTACTTCATTTTACGCGAGACTAACGATGAGGAAAAATTCTTAGACTCGAGGCGGACACCGTTATTATGGCATCTTGTATTCCCACGTTAAAGCCTCTTTTGCAACTGTTTCCAAAAAGGAGAACGAGCCCCCTAGTATCTGCGAGCTATTTCTTCAGCGCTGTTCACCCCGGTCGCAGAAGCCATCGAAGTAGTTTCTCCGGCGAAAGCCAGCAATTGAAAGAGCTCGCTCGGCCTTCTCACATCCATGTCAACAGTGCCCCAAGCGAAGATACAGTGCTTCCATTGCCTTCCGAGCAGGGGGACGAGCGATCAATTGGTCCTTGAGACAATGGTATTGCTTTAGAAGGTATTGTTTTAGAAGTTGAATTGCGACCGATAAGCGCCGCCCGCAAATCTGGTTCTCTTCTCCGTTTTGTCCGAAGATCGGCAGCGATGGCAGAAGGGTGGAAGATTCTCACCACACGATGTAAGCTCCAAGTTGAACCATACCTTTGGGCTCGAGCTTGTGGGAATGTTTGGTGATGGATAAAATGTATATATAAGTTAAAACAAAATGAGAAAACAAATTTAGAAGAGTCCAATGCTTGCACTGTATGGTACGATGAAATAATAGCATATCTATAACTATTCCAGAGTTATTTCCATAATACATCGCTCTTAGGCGAGGTAATATCAGGCCAATAACGGGTTGGCAAGCTGTGGTAGAAAATGAATGCGAGATCAGCCTAAAATACTAGTTAGCACTAGTGGAATATGACCTCAATACAAGTGTGAAACATGACGGCCCTCCGAGAGGACCTCTGGACTCAGAGGCACCAAGCAGATGGGTATGATGCGGTAGAGGCTTGACTATCTACTTGATAAGTAACGGAGTAGATCATAAGATATCAGTAGCTTTCATCAATTACTAGTCCTTTATCATCTATCTATTCTGTACTCTACTTAATTATTACAAGAAAAGATTTGGGAATTTTTTGATAACAGAATTTTATGATTTACTACTAACCCGAATTTGTTTTATATACTAGCAAATATTCAAGATCTCTCTGTTCAGCTCCAGCAATGATTAATCTACAGCGTCAAATTGAGAAAAGTTTTTTCTAACTCAGCAATCTGTTCTTTCAGACGCCTTAGCCTTCGTTTAGATGAGAAGACTGCTATGTATTGAAAAGAATTATTTCTTGGCTGCTATAGAAGGGTTCACATATACTATGCATAGATGGCTAGCCTACTAGCAATCGAACGTTTGGCTGCTGGACTAACTTGAAGCTATGGATTAAACTAAATCCTTCTGAGTACGCGAACACATTTATCCTATATTCGATGAGATAAATAAATAAGGCCTTGAAAATATGTAGAAGAAGATGGTAGTACTTTCGTAATAGTAGCGACCTTGGTCATTCAGTGATCCACACCATGCAAGCCACAACCCAACTTACTCTGATACAACAGAGTCGTATGAGCATATCCAAGACCAAACCAACATAGGCCCAACCGAATAACCTGCCAGCGTCGGCGAGAATGGTATATGATATCCATCATACATCGTCATGCTCGATCCTGTGGAACTCAAGCTTTTCCCATCCTGCTTTGACTGTATTTCCTGGTCCCCAGATGGCGAGCTGGCGGTTGCACTGGGAGAATATGTCCATGTGTTGGTCAGTCACCCACGCCATTTTCAACCACGCAAATAATCTTCTAAAATTCGAAAAATCATATCCTCCCATATTCTTCTTTGAATACTTGCCTCTATGTCATTTGTTCTCTTCCAAAGAAAAAAAAAAGGTATCACGCTGATCATCCCTCTAGATCCCACGCATAAAGGCGCCTACGTCAAACAGAACAACGGAAACACCATCTGGCTCAAACACCCAGTGGACAACCACCAAATTCCGCGCAAATGTCTTTACTAACACTGAATGGCCCATGATATTTCCTCAGCCGGGAAATACTTTTTCTCTCGGCGAAGAGCAGTCCTCCAGTCACGTTGTTGCCTTGGCTTGGTCACATCACCGCCTGGCCAGGTACTCTCGACATGTCCTCGCGGTGTTGACTAGTAACTTGGTCCTGTCTCTCTGGGAGCTGGTGGATGGCTATTCGAAGTGGATGAGGACTGTGGTCGTCAACAATGCATTAAGAGAGGCCTTTGGCCTGTCATTACGCGGAAAGGGTTCTATTTTATACCGTAAAATGCATGTGAGGTGCTTTTGCTGGAGCCCAAAGAGTGACGAGGATGATCATCACGAGGATGCTTTACATGGGCATCAAGCGTATCGAGATATGTCTCTGCTGGCTGTGGCGAATGATATGAACGACATAACTCTGATCAGAGTTAGAAATGACCGCCTGAGACCAGACATGAATACTCGACGACAGTTGTGGGTAGAGGTCATTTCCCAGAATGAAATACCAGCCCCGCATGTAGCATATCCTCGTATGCAGCCTGATTCCCTTCTGGGTCAATCAGTGAGATCTGTGCCCATCATATCTCACATTACATGGGGTCCCGCGCGTCAGAGTTTTGACGATCAGGGGAACCCTAGATATTCTTCACCTCTTGCAATTATTCACGCCACTGGAGTTAAGGCTTTTCTACTACATGCACGGTTTGAAGACCCGGGACGAGCGGCTGAAGACAGCGATACGGATGCCAAACTAGATTTACGCTTGGGCGAAGCTATTCCTATTTCCCAAGAACCTCAGTTTGAGAGTATGAGCTTCCATGGTCCGCTACGTTGGATTGACCACGCGGTAAATACGACAACGTTTCCTTCTTGTATTTAGGTATTTTCCTACTAACTAACGAAGGGCCCCAAAAATCCATCATCATCCTGTTTGGTGGTTGGGTATCTTGGAGGATATGCACTGATCAGCTTTGACCACTTGTTTACCCATAAGTCCGCTGGGACAGAGCAGTCGACGTCTACTGTATCACTCTACCATGCACTACATGCAGACACTGTGGAGGATGATAGGTTGCTAGAATGGGAGCCCATTACCGGTGAGTATCTTGTCACACCCAAAAACAAAAAATCCTTTGTAGATGTACACGTGTTGAGGCTTCCTCTGGCAGCCATAACTTCCACAGAGGATACTAAATCCCATACAACTGTCATACATGTCACCCATTTTTCCTCATCCCTCCGCTCCCTACCGCTCCAAGCGATCCAGGTTCGGGACATTACCGCTTGCAATAATGGGCGCTCGGACAATGCACAGACTGCCGATCTCCACAGACAGATGGAAGGCTTCCGCAGCCGATTCGACCTCGACCACGACCTGGGCGGAATGTCCTTAGCTAGAATATGGGGAATGACTAGCCATCGAGGCTGGATCGCAGCATGTTTCACAGTTCATCCCAGCGACATGGTTGAATATGTTACTACGGCGCGCCAACGATCGCGGATCGTCTTTACGCCACCGCACCCAAAGGAGGGTGAATCAGCAGAGCTCCCATGGCGCATTCCCCCAGAGCTAACGCCACAGCGCATGAAGGCTGGTCGCGACAAAGCTCTCTCTTTTATCCTGCGTGATAGTCATAGAGATCTACTGCATGATCACTGGGTGAAAAAGCTACAATACGCCGCTATTTGCTGTCTCATTACAGATCAAGACCCTGTCGACGCGCCGCACTTGCTGGAAGCTGCAAAATCAGCAGCGAAGTGGTTATCTAGTACATTTAGCCTTGACCTATCAGTGGAGTTATCTTGTATAAATGAAAAGCTCAAGTCGCAGATCGAACTTCCAGCTGGATCCGCAGGCGGCCCGGAAACAAGTAAACACCTACCCGGCAAAACTTGTGATGCCCAAACAGGACCTGGCGATGATGTATTTGAATATTGCGATATATGCGGTAGCGGTATTGACTGGTACTCCGCTGAAGAGTCCCAATGTGCGGAGGGGCATGTGTTTGGTTCGGCCCCCCTTTTGAACCTTTACCCTTCCCTTAATTCCACCCGCAACTACTAATGACACCATGTGTAAATCTAGCTCGATGCGGTTTGACGTTTCTCTCCATCCAGGACCCGTCGATTTCCAAGCGTTGCTCAGTTTGTGGTAGCGAGGTCTTGGATGCGGAGCTCGTCGATTTTCCCAGTGTGATTGGACCAGGGATGGGTGCGGCGGGTGGGTCTCAGCCTCAGCGGCCGCATGAGCGATTGATTGATATCCTTTGTGACGCTTTTGACACATGTATATACTGTGGTGGGAGGTTTAGGGATTAAGTTGTGTGGTAGGCTGGGTTGTGCATCTGAAAAGGAAACATGGATGTATGAGAGGTGATGGTATGGCCTCATCGATGGCAGCCTAAGTAACATTACTTACGCTGTGGCCCTACTGTATACATAGTACATAAGCAAACCGAGAGAAAACGTCTATTCTTGTGGGTAATGGCCATAAAAACTTCCCCGAGCACTGGTATTTACCAAAACACAGCCGAAAAAAAGGAAGGAAGGAAAAGAGAGAAAAGACATCATGCACGAATGCTTAACCGATGACAAAACCAGAGATGACCGACTCCATATATATACGTAATCATAGATCGAATAGTACCATGACAACCCTATATGGGAAACCAAAGCTAACGGGACACATTAGGGAATAGAACACAATGGGCGTCAAAATTATACATGTACAAAGTTGGAGAAAAGGGGAATAATATGTAGAGGAGAACGTCTAGGAAAAAATTATGTTGTCAACTGGCGGGGGAGGAGGGCGACAACGAGCCCTAAGGCACAGATGCGAGACTACCCGTTCGCCAGGTAAATGGTGTCGACGGATATATGGGCAATAAATATATGTTTCTCAGTTTAATGTGTAAGGGTATCATAGTTCCACTGTGAAGAACAGCTGTGAAAAATCTTAAAGTGTTAATATGGCAAAGGAGATTTTATCCATCTGTCGAAATGATTAAAAGAATTTGTTCATAGCTTTGTGAGCCAATTCGACCCCGAGGCTGTATGAATGAGTGAATTGTCAGAACCGGAACATGGATATTCAATGTATACACATTTTGGGAAGGAGACGTGACGAGAATCGGGGACTTACAAGGTAGCGGCGTTGGCAGGTACCGCTCTTGCCAAGGCGGGGCCGAATCCTGGGAAGAAGGCTTTGAAGCCGCCGTTAGCATATACACCGCGGATGGTGCCTCCGATGGTGGGTCGTCCTTCCGCGCTCTGCAAACGGGACTTGACGGTGTCGATGGGAAAGACTGGGATCCACATCGCAATGCCAGCTGCACCGCCTGCAGCTACGACTGCGGGCAAAGACAATTCACCAGTGACATTTCCGTCCGCATCTTTCGGTGTGAGGCTGCGCTTTATGTATTCATACGCGGCAAAATAGGCTGCCGAACCAGGTCCATCACGGGCCAATGTCATTGCACTTCCACGGAACACGCTACGGATACCTCCCTCCTTATAGAGCTGGCGGACAACGTCTACTCCGCCGGAATACTTGGGCTTTTGGCCGGGAGGAGGAGGGTTTTGACCTTGAATCTGAAGAAGAACCTTAACACGCTCGAAAGGGGCGGTGATCAGGGTCATGGGGATCGCGGAGAAGAAGCCAGCAGCAGATATCTGGCCGATCGTGTATTGGGGAGTTCCGTTATGTACCGGAACGGAGGAGAAGTTGCGGACGAGTGTTTTCCCAAGATCATAACCCTTTATAGATATGACGGAGTGAATTAGAGCGCGGGCAAGCAAAATTTATGGATTAACGAATGCGAACGTACCCAGAAGCTGACAGCGACTGATAAAAGAGCAAACAGTTAGCCAGCTGAAAGACAATTCTTCTAAGAGTAGAAATAGAGAAAATAACGACGTACACATAGGAGTTACTCCAACCAATGGGGCTGAAACGCCCGCATATAAACCCTGACAGCAGTTGTTAGCAACTGTATTTCTAAGGTCAAATCCCTAGGTTCATTGGTAGAGAGTGACTTGTCCAGCGACATACCCTGGCAAGTCCTTCGCGTGCAATAGTTCTCTTCACGACATGGATTGCACCCGAGTAAACGCCCTTTTCGGCGGTTTGTAGGCGGACTTTGACCAGGTCAAAGGGATGGCCGACAATGACAGCGCAGATTCCGCCTGCACCGCCAGCGACAAAGGATTTGATCTGCGCAATGCTAGCGTTCGAGGCAGCCGGGGATTGTTTCTGAGGTTCCGATTCCATTGGTAATGAGGGAGAGATAGCAGTCGTAGTGGATGGCATATCGTGTGTATTGGAGGGGGGGGGTGGTTGATCAATGATGGGAAAGCTATTACACCGAAGCGCAAGTCGCACAAAAGCACAAGAGAGTGTATTAACCAAGAGGAACTAACTACTGAGGTAGCGACAAGGCACGAAAAGGGAAGAGGGGAAAGAAGGAAGAACAGAAGAAAAGAAGGGAAAAAAAAAAAAAAAAAGAGCCCAGCAGGAGAATGTAGAGAGTTTTACAGCGGTTCGCTGGTGACTTTTGGGGCGGCGGGGAGATTATGTAAGTCGAGAAAGGTGGAATGGGCCTCGGTTCGGAAAGCGGAAGAACAGAAAAGCCGTACAGAGCGGGTATTATCGAGAGGGGCAAACAAGCCAAAAGACAAAGAGGAAGCAGAAAAAGGGGAGAAATGCCAGATGAAACAGGGTGACAGCAACATGTGGTCTTCTTAAATTGCAATTCAGATGCCATTCATACAGTATCTGTGAGACCCCTGACACTTCGGGCGAAGGGAGGATGCGCCATAACAAATATCAACCCACTGTCCTAGCAGCGATACTATCGAATGCGAATGAGAGTACTAGCGGCATGGAGGGAGGGGGTTTGTTCGTTGTCTGTGCTATTCATGTGGATTATCCCGATGTAATAGCGAAGTTGCTTCGTATGGCGATCTTCTGCTGCGTTTAGTGTGAATTGATCTTAGATTGGAAGATGCAACCAGGGAGAACATTTGCGGATTATTAGGAGAATTGCAGCAGGGTTGTGTGCGAGTAATTACCAATAATCACCTGATCCGAATCATCAGGAAAACTCACAGGGAAAAACTGACTCTTGTCTCATGGTGTCCTGCATCGCCAGTCTGCTCTGTGGTCGGGACAAAAATGGTATTGGTCAGTAGTCGACCATCAGAGGTCAGCAGCTGACTAAACGCCGAAGGCAACCAGCTGGAGGCCCCCGATGAATCAACTTCATTCATCCGTCCTCTCTCTGCTTCCCATCCTTGCCTTCGATTTTGCAATAAATTCCTTTATATCTTACTTGTGTCTCTCTTTCCTGCTGTTTCATTTGTTTCTATTCCACCAGTTTGCCATGTCCGCTACCACCTATCATGTGGTTCGTAGAGGACTAGAGGTAACGACCAATTACCTATCCCCAACGTCAAGCAACAATGAAGACCATCGCCAACTGTCCGTCTGGGCGGTACTGGTGTTTGGTGTGACTGCTCTAGTCTTTAGCCTTGTTGCTTTCGCCGTATGTGGTTCCCTACACCTTGTCATAGGGTTTGATTCGCCCACCGCTGGATATTATATACTAATTATTGGTGCGATTGTAGATTCAATATACATATGGCACTGTTGTTGCAGTACTGGCTGCGGTAGAAGATCCTCATCCAGCTGTGTATGAGCCCATTAAGGGCACCGACGACTCCAGTAAAACGACCAACCTGGTTGATTCTGGCCCCGATTTCTCCCACAAACGGCCTGCCCTAGTCACACGTAGCCTACGCACCGCCATCCACCATCTTCGCACTCGTGCTGGTCCTTGGTCTCGCTTCCGTGGCTTGGGAATGTATTTGTGCTTGGGTATTTGCCGCTCAGCTCTCGCCCAACTCCTCATCTTTGGTCATGGCAGCGCAGTCAACCATTTTGCCCACGCTGTTGCTCAGGTTGCTACTGATGTAGTTTCGGCGAATCTCGAGCTTACCTGGGTCCATATAGTAATTTCACAACCTTCTGCCAAATCATTTTGGAGACGGGTTCCCGGATACAGCAGCTGGGTTAAGATTGCTCCCGCTGTTGCCCTCCGGTCCGTAGCAGCGCAGCTCACCTTCTTGCTGCCTGCCCACTTGGGATGGAGAACCCATGTATGGCATATGGGGAAAGGCAGTCCATTCTCTGAACCAGAATATGACCCTCGCTCTGAAATCGCTATAGCAGTCGGCGCTTGCCTCCTCGCCATGTGCCTGACAGTCTTGATAGAGCTTCCAGCCACAGTGACCATGATCCGTGTGGCCGCGTCCATCCTTCCCGAGGAAGAAGAGACTATTGTGCCTTTCGATCGCACTTTTGGTGGAAATGTCCAACCGGCCATCCTAGGAGGTAGCGGTAAGGTTGGTTTGTTGGATGCATGGAAGACGTTCACCTGGGCGTCGCGCGTCCGTCTCCTCAAAGTGTTGGTTAAAACCGTCGGCATGATAATCGCAGTTACTACCACCTGCGCTATCTTTCTTGCCGGCGAAGCTTTTCTCCTAGGTGAGAAGATATTCGTTCAAGCATAGGTTCCTCTGTTTATCATCAGACAGATTTACAGTTATTGTCAGCGGCTGGCCGTCTGTGACTATAGCTCGTAAGATCAGCACTACCTTTCTGATACTCTGCACCCATCTGCACAAATCAAGGGAACATCATGTTGATTTAGCGCATGTAACTTCCAAATCCCGATAACTTGATTGCTCCAACGCTCTTTGTATTTTTGATTCATTGATATGTATTTATCCCACCCTTCCTCACCGTTATTGATATGGTTTCGAGACGATCTTTTATTGTATGTTGCGAAATAAAGTTATTACCTGGCTGGATCTCATAAGACTTTCTGTAAACTTTTGGCAAATTCCGTACAAATGAATGCATTTTTTGCACATAGTTAACTAAGTGGAATCACCGATTAAGTAATGCTGGCTTCACTGAAGGCATGTGACCAATATGGACCCCGACCTCACAACTGAAATAAACCGCAGCTATTTCAGCATATCACCGCTACTTTGCATAGTACTTAATCATTACTGCAGCTTTCTCCAGCCCCCGCTGCGTGGTGTGGTGGACAAAGCAGATAATTCAAAACCAAACCCCGCTTCAGATTTCTTCAGGCCACACCTTGGCTAGACGGTCTACTACTGTGACTATTACATCATGGCCACTTCCGCTGCAGCAGGGCTGCTCAGCCGCCAATTGAAGCAGATGCAAACGGATAAGGATATCCCGGGAATTAGTTGTGGTTTGGCAAACGACAACATATTTGAATGGGAGGTTATGCTCATGATCTCAGATGAGTGTAAATTTTATGGTGGTACGTGAAGCATTTGCCTGGCGGGCTACACTGTACCTGAAAGTGGAATTCGTTTCAAACCCGCTCATTAACAGGACATATCAAATCTATTTACTTTAGGTGGCTTTTTCTGCGCTCGACTATCTTTTCCCCCCGAGTATCCCCATATGCCGCCCACGATGAAATTTGAAACACCAATATTTCACCCCAATAGTACGTACCTGCACTGCATATTTAGATCGGCTCCATCCTGTATCTGACAAAAAACTCCTCTAGTCTATCCCACCGGTGAAGTCTGTATATCTATTCTTCACCCTCCGGAAGACGACAAATACGGTTACGAGTCTGCTGCCGAGCGCTGGTCGCCAGTACAGACACCTGAGACTATCCTCCTAAGCGTAATCAGCATGCTCTCCAGTCCCAACGATGAGAGTCCGGCAAATGTGGAAGCTGCAAGGCTTTGGCGTGAGGATCCGAAAGAATTCAAGAAGAGGGTAAGGCAATGCGTGAGACAGAGCCTGGGGGAGGACTGATGTGCTCGATTCCCAACTATTTTACGGTTCTCGTTTTCTTTCTCCTTATTTCCGTATGGAGTTTTCCGTTTCTCTCATTAATGGCAGCTCAGTGAGGTATTTAAATCAACTCAGGCATGCCTTTCTATAAGAGCATTGTTTCCTTGTTCTTTCCTTTCTTTTATTCTAGCCATCTTTACGAAGTACATGTCCCATCTATTTTCTCATCAGTTCCGTGAACAGCGTCTCGCAGCGGAGTCACACCATGTCCATAGTATTAGTTGATTTTCTCTGCGATAGCAGCTAGACATGCTTGCCAAACCTATTTCCGTTCTTCATGCATGAGGTGTTCGATTTATCGATTTCTTCCATATTTTCCCGCATGGGTTTTTTTTGTTGGCGACAGATTTACTGCCATCAAGTCTCTCAGCTCGTGGGCCGCTTCAATGGTGGAAATTGTTGGTTAGATATTTTCAGCATCATGAGCTAGTCGGCTGTTGCACATGTACGGCAGCCTATAGTGACAAATGTGTCAAATGGGTTTTTTATACTAGTGTTACAATGTACACACACCTATCATATTCATTCTATTTGTAATTGAATAGAGCTTATGGATAATGGATTATTAGAAAGCAATGCATTGCTAGATATCATCTTCAATATATATCATCACTGTGATAAGATAACACTATAATCACTAGATTATCCATAGTGAAAAGCCAACATAACCATTTGTTAAATGGTTGTGCTCATAGTGATATATATACCCATGGGTGTGGTGGTGTGGCCCGGCCCACAGTGGGTGTGGCCCACTGAACCCACCACTGATACACTGCGACCGCCAGCCGCAGCATAGTGGGGAACCACATCACTAGATATCATCACTAGATATTATCGCTAGATATCATTGCTAGATATTATCACTAGATATTATCGCTAGATACCATCGCTAGATATCATCGCTAGATATCATCGCTAGATATCATCGCTAGATATCATCGCTAGATATTATCGCTAGATATCATTGCTAGATATTATCGCTAGATATTATCACTAGATATTATCGCTAGATACCATCGCTAGATATAGATATCATCGCGAGATATCATCATGAATATCATCACTAAATATAATAAGCTAGAACTATAATAACTAGATTATTCATAGCAAAAAGTCAACATAATCATTTGTTGAATCATTGTGCTCATAGTGATATGTATATATATACATCCTGGCCCACAGTGGATGTGGCCACTGAACCCATTATCTATACACTGCAACCACCAGCTCATAGTGTGGAAACCACAGTATATATATATATATACTGGCAGTGATATCTCGCGATGATATCTATATCTTGTGATAATATCTCACAATGATATCTAGCGATAATATCTAGTGATAATATCTAGTGATAATATCTAGTGATGGTATCTAGCGATGATATCTAGCGATGATATCTAGCAATGATATCTAGCGATGATATCTAGCGATGATATCTAGCGATGATATCTAGTGATGGTATCTAGTGATGGTATTTAGCGATGCCAATGATGATATCTAGCAATGATATCTAGTGATGGTATTTAGCGATGCCAATGATGATATCTAGCAATGATATCTAGTGATGGTATCTAGCGATGATATCTAGCGATGATATCTAGTGATAATATCTCGCGATAATATAATGACATAAATTCACTGTTTTAAATGTACTTAGAGAAGGAATCAAGGTGCATTGCTTTCTAGTATAAATTTCTATCAATGAGTGTCTGTAAGTGGAATTAAGTAATTACAGTGGAAAACATCAAAAAAACCCATTTGACACATTTGTCACTATAGGCTGCCGTGGCTAGGCCCTTTATGACCAGGATTATTATTGTTCCATTCCATACAGATTCCTCTACAGCTACGGAGTGCAGAGTACATCAGTTTGTAACAGATGGCTTGTAAGGGCTGATCACATTTTCATTGCATAGATTGATAGATACTCCGTATATTATATGTAACTGATAATTGATGATGAATATACAACTTTGGTGAATCCTATACAATTCAAGTTCTTATCTTCATGAAATGTATTATGTTGTGACCAAAGCATGCTTGTACCTATACTCCAGAATTATAATTCCAGTGTATATCAACTGATTCCATACTTTTTTTAGCAGTTAAGTGTAATTAGAAATCAATTGTGAATTCAAATCATCAATTGCTGCTTGTATATTGCTTTGTGGTGCATGTTATTGAATATTGAAGGTGGATGAACAAATGAAGATTTGTGCAGGCATTGGTAGGTGGATTGAATATTTAGTTTATCGCCGCTTCAAACTCTCCTCCAGCAGGTAAGTTATTGATATGCCAACATAAGCCATGCCACAAACCATTGGAATCAATAATCCGTGGCTTAACACAATAAAGGGACCAGGCTGCTATGCGTGCTGCCTTCATATCCTCTGACATTATTCGACCCCATCCATCGATGGATTGAAGAGATCACAAAGCGTTTCAACCTCTCCGTGCTCCCCCATCGCACTTCGCGCTTCACTCCAACCCACACTTTTCGCCTTTACGAGTGTGTTGCTTCTCTTTTCAAGATGTGGGGCGCATCTTCTGGAGGGACTCCAGTTGTGGACAGCTTCATCGCAAACATTATGGAGCTCATAAGGGATCGCAACGGAGCTAAGCTACAGGATTATCTCCAGATTGAACCTCCATTGCCACCTGTATACCATGATATGGTTGCGGAGTTGAAGAGTCAATATCCACAAAGCGCAAATAACGATGACCAACTTCTAGGAAAATGCGAGTCCGCGGCTCCACCGGGCAGTTCCTGGTCCGCATTTCCCTTATTTTTGCGACAGTACTTTACATTCGTAAGGGACGTCAATGTCGACAACCTTTTGGATACTTACGATTTACTAAAAGCTCTCTTAAAGTATGTCGCAATGCGTTCCCTTCTAAAGTTTTAATCCGTTTCTAACTAATCATTTATTTCTGGATCCTTTTGCTGTATAGTCAATGCGTTATAGCCCTGAGTGATAGTCAAATGGGAGTCGTTGTCCTGCCTACGGTCCTTTATCTCTCGAAAGTGCTCGCGAAGCTAGCGATTGGCTTGGACCATCGACCGGAATTGGTCTCACACCTCCAAAAGGAGTCGACTGGAATGGACGAAGCAACGGAGAAGGTGACACTCGTTGAGAAATCCGCGAACGTTGTCCGTGAAGCTTTTATCAAATGCCTTACTGATAGGAGCGGGGCAGTTGGTGCACAAGGGAAGCCAGAAGGGAGACGCGTTGGAATCTACTTGATGGCAAATTTGTGTTTGAAGCTTTTATTCAAGGTGATTTTCCTTGCACTCTTTTATTTGCTCACTCATCATGTTCCTAACTTGTCTCGAACAGTGCGGCAAACTTCGGAATGCTGAACAGATGTTTGCGAGTATCAATGCCCAATCTCCCCCTCTTTCTCATTTCCCCGCCTCGCAAAGGGTCACCTACCTTTACTACTTGGGGCGATACCTTTTTTCGAATAACCTTTTCTTCCCGGCTCAAACCGCATTGCAGGCAGCATATAACCAATGCCACAGGCAAGCACTGCAACAACGACGCCTCATCTTGACCTATTTGATACCATGTAACATTATCCTTGGGCGCTTCCCCTCCAGAACTCTACTCGAGCGACCAGAATCCAAGGGATTTGACGATGTATTTTTACCTATTTGTCAGATCATTGCAAGCGGCGACCTGGGTGCTTTTCGATCTTACCTGGATGTTGACTCTCCCCATGCAGATTTTTTTGCTCGCAAAGGGATTTTGCTCCAGTTACGAAATAGATGTGAGATTCTTGTTTGGCGCTCCCTCGCCAGGAAGGTATTCATTTTCTCTGGCTTTCACGGAGATCAAAAAGCCCAGGCCCAAAGAGGGCCTCCGCCATTCCTCTATCTTAGCAAACTGGAGGGAGCAATTATGTGGATAGAATCACGCTGGTCCAAGCAAGCAACGCAATCGCCTTCCGCTATGAGGCAACCTGGACAAATTCTGCAAACGTCGCCCCCATCTCAAGCGAGGCGGCTCTTCTCTTTCGCAGCAGATCGCGATTTCGCTAAGCCAGACATGATCGTTAATGATGCTACAGCCAATTCCTCTTCCGATTACGACGATTATTTTCAACCTGACGGATATTTCGACCGCGATGGGGAATGGGTGCTTGTGACTGGCGAAAATGATTTGCCTGATGATGTAGCTCCTGAAGGCCAAGATTCGGACAATCTTGCCTCCGATGCTCTGTCGTATTTACCAAGTGAAGGAAAGGTGTCAGACGGTGAAAAGGGCCCAGAGTCCCCTTCACCATTGATGCGCGATCTCGAATCAGTCCTTGCCTCGCTTCTTGTACAAGATCTGATGCGTGGCTACTTAACTCATAAGAACCCGCGCTTCGCTATCCCAGGAGCGCGCGTTAAGGGATCCCTTCCTACTGGGTTCCCTAATGTATGGAGAACTATTTATGCTAGAGAAAGCGAAGATGACCAAGTTCCCGGCTGGGTGAAGCCAGCATCGAACCCAAGATTCGGCAATAGCACGGGAGGGTCGTTGGCCAGTCCCGCAGGAGGGATGGGCGGACGTGTAGTCAACCTAAGTGGAGCAAGACCCGTAGGCGCTCTGGGAAGTTAGATGTCATCTCTTAATTTTTCCATTTTATTCTTGACTGGGCTTTTCTCCCTTTTGTGGGCCGTGCCATCATCCAAGCTAGCATGGTGCAATGACGGTGTGTCATGATATAGTATATTTTCTCCAAGGAGATGCTGCGCATACTTTTTCTTTTTACGTTTATTGGATTTTTCCGCCGATGTGATACCCATTTGAGCGGCGGTGCGATTCACCTATGCCCTTTGTTATATTTCTGTTAAACTATCAGTTGTTGATCTAACCGTGGTGAGCTGCACCATAGCATGTGTCTCACTTTTTTGATGAATACTCGGACTGCCCTAACCTCCTGTCCATTTACATTGTGTCCTTTCGCAAGGGTTCACTTCTGATGGATTCGCTTTCCTCAAAGCTGCTAGCAGCATATGGGACTCTGTCAAGGCGGTCTGCTCGCTTAAATTACAACTACCTTTTGTGGGGGGGTTGTCTCCCTCAAGGGTGCTGACCTCTGTATTCAGTTCTCCAAAGGCGATTTCGATCTCCCATTTTCATATTTCTCAGAGTATATGGTAAATCCTAGTGGTGGAGTATGATATCGAGTGTCTCCCAACCCTCAAAGAACCAAGCATTTCCTAAAGTTTATTAATTCTCTGATAAATGGTCTCAACTTATAGACCCAAAAAAGTGTCAATCTCAAGAGCAAGCGGTAAGTATGGTAATTTATCCCTCAGGTTGAAGGTCAAGAGTGATGCGCGGTTCAGAAACATGGAATGGATAGGGAAATCGACTAGTTCTGCATACGCCTTTGTCCTTTGTGAATGAGCAGTCGGACACCCCCCGAACTTCGACTGTGTGCTTTATCATATTATTGAAGAGGATGTACGCTGTATGCTGCGTGCTTTCAGGGTGATCCCCTGGATCACGTGCTTTAATGCAAACAGCCCTGTGCAAATCTTCAAGAAACCGACAACAAACATCCGACTTGAACCATTCATACTACTCTGATCAAGTCCCATACTCAGGGCACCCTGTTTCAGTTTATATCCTCTTTATTATTGACCCTTTCCCAAAAATCTTAGTGTTGTAAATATATTGGCCCCCCCGCCCGCCTTTAAATAGCACACATGGTGTACTAAAACGGCTCCGAGTTTCCTAGTATGTAACATCATCAATCCGGGAGACTTGCCTTGATCAATGCTAAAGTTGACTTTGCGTCTAATAGATAACCGTCTGAAAATGCTCTGTCCTAAGAAGCTGCAGCTTTTCTCTTTCGCCCTCCTTTCTCCACACCTGTCCTCCGCCTTCTATCTTCCCGGTGTCGCGCCAACATCATACGATCAAGGACAACCGGTCCCACTCCAGGTTAACCGCCTAACCCCAGCGATATCTGAACTTGATGAGCAGCTTCATTCAGTTATCCCCTACGACTATTATCATCCGGCTTTCCACTTTTGCCAACCAAAAGATGGCCCAAAAGACGTTCGGGAGTCGCTAGGCAGCATAATATTTGGAGACCGCATCCGCACCTCGCCTTTCGAACTACACATGGCGAAAAATGAAACTTGCAAGCCCTTGTGTTCCGAAGTGAAATTTGACATTAAGAGCAGCAAATTTGTTAACCGCCGGATATGGCAGCAGTATAATATTAACTGGTTGATCGACGGTCTCCCGGCTGCCCAGATCAATATCGACGACCAAACAGAAACAGAATTCTACAGCCCTGGATTCGCCCTAGGCTCTGTGGACGATGATGGCCAGGCAATCCTTAACAACCACTATAATATTCTAATCGACTATCACACAGTTAGCGGCCTAGGGAAGGGAATTAAATACCGTGTTGTTGGTGTCCTGGTAGTCCCAGAATCGCGAAAGAACAACAAAATTGTTAATGGACAGGCGGAATGCAACCAGAATGGACCTCCAGTCGTTCTCAACGAAGATGGTGATACCACAGTTACATGGACATACGGTGTGTTCTGGAGAGAATCCTCCACCGTGTGGGCAACTCGTTGGGACAAATATCTTCATGTCTTCGACCCGAACGTCCATTGGTACTCCCTCATCTACTCCGCTGTATTTGTCGTGTTGCTTGTCGCGTTGGTGAGCACGATCTTGCTCCGCGCTTTGAAAAAAGACATTGCGAGATATAACAGGTTGGATATGATCACTTTGGACGATCTGAATGACACTTCCGCGACTGTTGAGGATGGAATTCAAGAAGATTCTGGATGGAAGCTGGTCCATGGGGACGTTTTCCGCTGTCCAAGGCACCTCCTTCTACTTAGCGTATTCTTGGGCAATGGTGCACAACTGTTCGTGATGACTGGCATCACAGTCAGTAAGTGACATTCATATTTTCTAACTAGATTTCTTGTGTCGAGCGTGACTAATCTGCTATTAGTTTTTGCGTTGTTCGGATTACTTTCCCCTGCAAATCGTGGATTCTTAGGGACAGTGATATTGATCCTTTATACTTTCCTCGGGTTTGTCGGTGGTTACGTCGCTGCGAGGGCGTACAAGTCGTTCGGCGGCGAATCTTGGAAAAAACTCATAATCCTCACACCAGTTCTAACCCCTGGACTTGTCTTCTCAGTATTTTTCTTCTTAAACCTCTTCGTCTGGTTCAAGGGGTCCAGCGGCGCTGTCCCGTTCACAACCATGCTCATCACCGTTCTGATATGGTTTGTTATCAGCGTGCCTCTTAGTGTCGCAGGCAGCTGGATCGGATTGAAGCAGCCGGTATGGCTACCTCACGTCGGCCCTTCTAAAGTATTTTCTCTTACTGATTGTTTCCGCTGTAGGCTATCGAAGGCCCAACCAGAACCAACCAAATCCCTCGTCAAATCCCACCAGCGGTTGGCTCCCTCCGCCCCTTGCCGTCAACCCTCATTACAGGGCTTCTCCCATTCGCTGCTATATTCGTTGAGCTTTACTTCATCATGCATTCCCTTTGGACGAGTAAAATCTACTATATGTTTGGATTCCTCTTCCTCTGCTACGGTCTCATGATCATTACTTCAGCGGCAACTACAATTCTTCTCGTGTATTTCCTCTTATGCGCTGAGGATTACCGCTGGCACTGGCGGGCCTTCATGGGTGCGGGGATGACCGGCGGATATGTATTTTTGAACGCGCTTATCTTCTGGGCTACCCGGGTGAGCTTTGGCGGGTTGACGGGTGCGGTGTTGTATTTGGGATATTCTGCTCTTATAGCATTTTTGGTATTTATATTGACTGGTATGTCGATTTTTCCCCCCCCCCCCCTTTATTTGGTAACAACGGGTGTCAACTCTTTCACTTTTTTCTTTCCAAAATTCTTCCCTTTTACGACGAATACTAACTTCCTTTTTAAATTGTAGGCTCCATTGGTCTAATTGCAAGCTGGATATTTGTCCAGCGCATCTATCGGTCTATCAAGGTTGATTAAAATTGGACAACCTTTTCGACTTAACCCTGTACCTCATGGCAAATCGGCATTATCCATCTCCGACTCACTCAATTTTACTCCTAACCATACCACTGCTGTGGCCAGAGCGTAGTACTGGATTTTGGTCCATCGGCGTTATGTAATGCTAATGTAGGATATCTGGCGAATGCATTGTTCTCTAGGAAACTTCTTTCAGCAAGTGTTTACTTCTTCGGTTATAGACCACATCGCGATTCCTCACTCCGTACTCATACTTATCCGTGTTAGCCAGAGGGAGCGCAGTAGTTCCATTCATTTTTTCTCACATTTTAAAATAAAGAGAAACGGGTTTTGCTTTGTCATTCTAGCTTTCCCCCTGGCGTTCAACAATATTTGCTTTGGAAATTGCTTCGAGCTATTCTGTACATATTTACTCCTATCACTGTTGTGTTTACTTTATACTGTGGTTCCGGAATTTTTCCCTTCTATTCTCTTACTCTCCAGGCACTAACTTCAAAACTCCATACGTTTGCCACATTCTTCGATACATTTTTGCCGAAAACAGCCAATTTTTCCTCTCCGTCAATGTGCTGTACTACGCTTCGAGTGTGTTTTCCGCCTTCAACGCCGCGTTTCCGTAGTTTTCCTCATTTTGATTGAGGATTCTACTTAATGGAAACTCCACTTCACTCCGAAGAACGGCATTGCATTAAATTAATGTACTGTCTGATTTCCCACAGCCATCTAGAACCCCACAGGATGGTAACGTCTGCCAACGCTCTTCGGGCGTCTCTGTCGTTGAAATTCACGCATCGATCGACCCGACGACGGCAGCCGACCCATCAGAACGGAGCAGAGAGTCCGGTTTCCATGAAGTACATAAAACCAGACGTTGAGGCTTGTTTAAAAACGTATTCTCTTCCTTTCTCTAAGAATGGTTATGGTAAATGGAGAAATTAATGTTAGCGCGTAGGTTTGGGGGGTAAACACAGGACTTGACTGTCTGTCGGCTAGCTGTCCATGGTGCAGTGACGGGATAGAGGTCCAGGGGAGTCAGTATCGTTGAATTGCAAAAGAACTGAAAGAGGAACTGTCAGCACTGTAGGCCGTGACAAAGAGGACAGGTTAATATCCGGATGGGCTAGCCAACAAACCGCATTGTTCCTGAGCCAGGGATATGGCATTTTTGATGAGGGAGACAAGAGGAAAAAGCAGAATAGAGAACCATATCGGGAAGAGTTCAGTCTTTTTTCTAGTCATATCCACCAAAAACAAAAACCACCAAGATTACAGAGTTATAGAAATGATACAAAGGGAAACTAATCGATGAGGCATAGAAACAAAAAGAGAAGTGAATCATTCCCGGCTGAGACTGGATCGACTGGTGATGTGACAAAAACAATAAAGGCATAGAAACACGTACGCAAGAGATAAATAATAGGAAGCATGTAGATTGAAACCGAGGCGGAGTGGGTAAGTCTTTTATCATGCAGCACATTGCAGCGCTGAGAAAATGGTAAAAAAAGAACGAAGAAATGGACAGGAAATACACAATAGTTCAAACACTTCTTCATATCATAATAAAAACATTGACATCATGGCACATGTCACACCGGAAATCGTGATAACGAAACCGCAATCCCCCAAGTAATAGATGGGTGGAAAATGGCGGCTATGGAAGTGTGTGGAAGCGAGATTGAGGATAAGGGTAGGTGGTAGGTAGTAGATGTGTCCACTGGGGATTTGGAAATGTAAGCATCGAGGATGTGTGGGAAAGGGGCTCCGTACGGCATCGTACTGCATAAACCAGACAAACAACTAGCCAAAAGCGCCCTTTAATAAAACCAAAAGACATTTAAAAGTGTAAGACAGAAAAAAGCATCATTCAAAAAACAAAACAAAAGTAGACCGAACATTCAGTCCTGACTGGACGTAAATTGATAGCAGATCCACGCGTGTGCCAGCGGCAAGCGTCTGATTGAATCCCCTGCCAACGTCGCGTTTGTCATCACACTAGCCCGTCATACAGAGACAAGGCGCTGACGATGGTCTCATCTTTCTTGCTTCCCTCCTTGAATTCCGCAAGGTCTAAACTTCCATTCTCATCCTTATCCATCATACGGAAGATCTTCTTTACACGTTTCTCGGGAGTATCTTCGTCTTCAGGCAGTTTGACCATAGAACCGACCTAGGACACAGGGTTATTAGATTGTGAAAAATGAAAGAAACTTGGGCTGATGGCTGTATAGAACAAGGATGATATACCATCTTATATATAGCCTCGACAATAGCCAGCATTTCGTCATAGGTTATTTTCCCATCACCATCAATATCGTATAACTGGAAAGCCCAGTCTAATTTATCTTCCATTCGTCCTCTTGAAGTGATGGACAATGCACAAATGAATTCTTTAAAATCGATCATGCCGCTTTCATCAGAATCGAAAACTCTAAAAACGTAATTCGCGAAGGAGGACGGGTCACCAAAAGGGAAGAATTGCCGGTAGATTTTTTGGAACTCCTCCTTCGTCAAGGTTCCAGAGGGGCAGTCCTTGAGAAAACCTGGATGATTTTAATAATATATGTGAGCAAGAAAAACACGAACGGAGCTCTTGATAACAGGCCGTTATTCCCCGGGAGTTCATTGACAAAAATGAATACCTTTGTACCATTGTTGTAGTTCCTTTCTGTCAAAGTGAGTTGACTTCTGCAGTTCGTCCAGTTGCGAAGGGGAGAGTTTTGATTGTCTTCATGAGAAAAGATCGAATGGTTAGCACTTGCTATCAAGTCTATCATTTACAATGGTTGGAGCTTGTCGGGCTCTCTCCAACAGCACCATACAACCAACGGAGAGGTGCATTATGTGATTTCAAAAGGAACCGATAGGGAGAAAGCCTTCATCCAATAGTGTAGATCAGCCTATGAAGATGTTGGACTGGAGAGCCCTGCATGAGCCCGGTGAAAGGGTGTATTTTTTCTTTTTTTCTTTCCTTCTTTTGGCGGGGGGAGATATGGATGGGGGCAGGCACTGAGAAACATTCAGGGAGGATGGGGTTCTCACGATTTCCCCATGGATGCGAATGCTGAAATAAACGACGAATGGAATCAAGCTGTTCGCCTTCAGTATTAAATCTCTCGCATGGAAATGGGTGTTGTTGAGCGGAGTGAATATCGTGATCGTGAGGGACCGCGGGCGGGGTAGTCGTCCGATGACGGGTTGCAACGGGAGAAGCTAGCGGGGTAATAGGGGGAGAAAGCGGGCTGCAAATGGGGAGATAGTTGATTCCAACGGTGTTGGATGCTGACACGGGATCGTAGACGGCGAAAGAAGAGGAATCAAGAGCCAGGGCAATGTGAGGAATGCTGGAGACAACGGCGGACAATGTCGTTTGGTTGGACGCCGTTTGATGCGATGCTGGGCCGCATCGGAAGGAGATTAGCGCGTGACCCAGCTGCTGACAAACCATGCGGCGGCTCAATTCAAGCCCGCCAAGGAAGAAAGGTGGCGATGCATTAGCCGTTTTGGGCCTAGGCTGAAACAACCTCAACAGCCACAGCCGCAGCCGCTTCTGGCTTCAGTCCGTTCGTCTCGCATTGTGTCTAGGGGATGACATGGCATGTATGGCCCTGGCAGCCAACCGAGTCATTACGTTACTAGTATATTCAAGTTTTGACGAAAAGAACCAGTCCGCTGGGTCTCCCTGAGTTTTCTTGAACAAGCAATTGAAGCAGGATTACCGCCTCCCATTTTGAATCACCTAAACAATTCCTGGTGCTTTTGCTTGAAGAGCTCTCCACTGGATCGGCTATCTTGAAAGCGTTAATCCCATTCTGCTCACAAAGGCTTGATACTCGATTGATAACCAAATTGACTTTAGTTGCGGAAAATGTTCAAAAATTATGAGGCCACTTGGACCACGCGGTGAACTTATATATAACCTCCATCCCTTTCCCTCTAACTAGAGGACTTGGACTTATACTTATTCTGTTGACTGAAGCAAGCAAGCAGCGAGCAGCGTTAATTTTTGTGCTAAGTTCCATTGCGTCTCAGCGTTCAGCGAACTCCGTCCTCCTCTGAAGAAATATGTAGTACTTCTGACGATGGCATGTATCAAAATGAGATAGGATTTTCGTTATAATAATTTACATCTACTATCCTCCAAAACAGCAGCCCATTGCCTGCCCAGGTTAGGTGTGGATTTTCCATCTGTGCAGGCATACCTGAGAAGAGCTTTTGACTCGCATAAACGATGAGGGCTATCAAATAACACGGGTCTAGGATTTTCATAAATTGCATATCGAAAGTACCTCCGAAGCTATAAGGTCTGCGATCATGAGAGCTCCAACGCTGAGATCAGAAAGGGCACCATTGAGACACGGCCATTAAGCTGGTGAAAAATGGGCTATTTATGCTAGATGGCGGGCAATAGCTCTGGGATAGAGAGGAGTGTAGATGGCATGACTGTTGTTAGGTGGGAATATATTCCCGGACGCCCTTTCTCCGGGGGTTGACTGGACAAAACGGTTGAGGATGAAAAATTTAACGGCCTGTAAGAGTACGAAGAGGAAGAAGGGAGTGGAACAGATGCTGAATAGGAATGCATTGTAGGGTTGGGGTGAAACCGAGATGAGTGTAAATCGATGACTCGAGGAAAAAGGTAAGGGACCGACGGTGAAGAATTGGACCCTCCCGAGAAGTGATTGATTCGAAAGAATTGCAGGACTGCCAGCTGGCTCATTGACGAAATGCCGGTCAGTTATTTCAACTGTTGCTCGTATGCAGCTTTATTCGTAACAAAAATCCTCGGAGGAAATGATGCCCACCACCGGACAAAGACCAGAGCCAACTAACAGGGTCAAATACACTGTGACATGCAATGATGTCTGTATCCTGCGAAAGTGCTGCCATTTTTGTAGCACAAGATTATCAAGAGTAATCAATATATATAATAATATAATTACCCTTCGCCCCGATTTTTCAATGGCATGCACTCGATCACGTGCCGCCGCTTGAGCAAATCTCCAAGCTCGCCCAACTCAGCATCTCCATATGCGATAGCTTCAATACTACTAATATTTACCATACCACTCCTTGCGTTGCTACAACCAATAGCGCAATACCCCTACCCGCTGTTCACCATGGACTCTCAACTCCTCACCCCGCTCAGCACCTTAGAAACTAGACTGAACAATCTCCTAATGTCCATGGTCTCTTCCCCAACAGCTGCAGGAGCCCCAGCGGCTGCCCTCTCACTCTTAGAAGCAGATGACGCCGTCTCGAGCGCCCTTAAAACGCTACACACGCACCAATCGAACTACGCCAAAATCCTTCGTCTGCGCGCGGAAGCGCTCGCGCTGGAGCAACGGGTGCGCGACATCGTCCGCGAAGTCGAGAATGTGGGCAATGAAATATCCACCGCATGCCAGCAAGGGGTTGGTGCAAGCGATGACGGTAGCAGTGACACAGATAGTGAGATGGAGACGGAAGGGGAAGATCCCGATACGCAGATGGGAGGCGTGTCGGCTTCTCCTCGTGGTTTCAGCGGGGTAAGAAAAGGGAAAGGGAAGGCCACGAACGAAATCGACTACAAATTACTTGTGAATTTTGCGCGCAGGATTAGTCGGTATAACAGTGATGCGGCCGCGGATGTTGCTGCCGGCACTCCCGGGAAAACAATGCCGCCAGAAGGGGACACGGAAGGTCAACAACAGCGAGCAAGTGCTCATGAAAACAATGGGGAAGATGCTGGGCGAGTGGGTACGAGCGGGCAGCGGGTGGCCAAGGGTGTTGGAGTTGCCGCGCTGTCTCAAGAGACAGTGTCCTGGCTGGATGAAACGGCGAACTGGTCGCGTGATTTGTCACGTATGGCATTCCCGAGTGAAGAACAAATACGGATGGGGTTGATGGGTCAATTACAGGCGAAGGCGAGCGAAGGAGTGGATGTGGAGAAGGAACTCGAACGCTTAATCCGTGCCTCAGAAGGTACTGGCGCCGGTGGTGTTGATGAAGATAATGATGCGGGTGGTGGGCATGCGACGGCAAAGGATGGGATGGCTATTGGGCGGGAACATATATCCGTTTCTGGGCATGGCCATGCTGGAGGGTCCATTGGTCAGGCAGATGCTGTTATGGGAGGAGTTTCAGCACCGAAGGAGAAACCCAAGGCTGTGTTGGATCTGGATTTATATGACCCCGATGAGGATGATTAAAGGCTTCCAGCCCACTTAAATTAGAGTTCTCTATTATGAAATTCGGAATCTTGGATGGGTGCATATCAAGGATATTCCTTACAGGCTATGGGATGAACTATCCTTGTTCGAGTCTTCCGCCTTTTCTACTTCTTCACCTTCAAACACCGACTCACCACCACAACTTCGTCAAATACACCGTGTCATGCCGATCCCTACAGTTCGTTCAAATTACTCCTACCCAAACTGTCGCACGATCACTATACTTGTACACAACCCAATGATCTGGTCAAGATATATTCATTATTTAAAACCGGGAAAATGAAAGTTCTGTACACAGTGACCACAGCAAAAGTCATAAAAAATCGTGGTACTAAACACCAGTGGGTTCAAAATAATACAAATAGCAGCATGCATGCAAGTAACTCAACAAAGTCACATACGATGCACCTTCGAATTAGCCGTGATCTTTCTCAGCCGCTTGCCATAGTAATAAAAGATGATCCCACAGGCACAGAAAAGGGTTGTCAAACACATGTTCAGCATGATAGCGGGAATGAAGCCACTGCGCTGCGTCCATGGCGTAATGAACTCGCTCAAACCGTAGCCCCAGAGATTTTTGTTCACGGTAATGGTGACGAAGATGCTTCCGGCAATGGGCTTGTAACTGTCGACAGCGTACGTGCTGGAAATAGCTGGAAGTGCAGCTACCTGGATTCCAATGGCGGTGTAGCCGATTATCACGATTATCTATAAATATTTGGTATTAATCAGACGAAGAAACCATGGAACCCAAAACAAGTAGATTGCCGTGTAGTGGTGGTGGCTAAAAAGGGGAGATTGTCATACCTTCCAATCCCATTTGTGCTCGTACCCAAATGCCACGACAAAGTTCCCAATAATCATAATAATAACATATGGTATCATAGCAGGGAGCCTCATCTCCGGTTCTCGAATGCCTCTATTTTTCTTCGTGGCGCGCATAGAAATCCAATCAGAGAGGTACCCGTTTGTGGCCAGTCCAATACCGATACCAACTATCACGGCAAAGTTGAAAAATCCAACTGTCTGACTGTTGAAATTATATGGTGGTGCCGCAAAGAGCTGACTCTGGGTTACGTTAACCACGAGAAAAACGCTGGCCGACCAGGAAACAATGAAAGCTGCCAGGTGGACAATAGGGAAGAGGTGGAGCTTCCAGGGGATCCAAAAGTCAAGCAACAGACTTTTAACTGGATGTTCGACCATCAAAAATGGTCTAAACTGTCGCAGTGAAGGTTTCCCCTTGGAAAGGTATGGATCCCTGTTTTTATGTTCATTTTCGATTTCAGATTCTATGGATGGTTCCGCCGAACCGGCTTCCACGTTGGCGGCATTCTTATCAGTCACACCGTTCCCCGCAGCCGGATCCCTTGGGTGAGTCCGAGGCCATCTCGTTTCAGGAAAAAAAAATATCAATAATACTAGAACAAAACCTAACAGGCCGACATTGAGCCACCAGAAGTCACGCCAGTGTAGATTATACGCCATAGATCCGGAAATAACTGGTGACATCTAGCAATAGTAAGTATCGACCTTGATACAACCTTGCGTTGAACAGGAAATCATACCACCAACGCTCCGAAATAAAACGTGAAGTAGAGCGTATTGTATGCACCCCGTTCGTGGAGGAACATAATATCCGCGATTATTTGCGGCTGCGCAGTCTACGTAGCGCGTCAGATGAGATAATTTTGGGATATATATGGACAAAGGTTTCTCACCTCTGCTGGTCCAGCACCAAAGCCATTCAAAATGCAGGCTCCCATAAAGCTCCCGTAGGATGTGGCAAGGCCTCTCCAAATCGAAGCGACCAAACACACCAGGGTAGATAAAATCAATACTGGTCTTCTTCCAAAGCATGTTTGCAATGGAACCCTACAGGTGCCCCGTCAATGAGCGGCCAAAAAAAGAGAGGAAAGGAAGGAGAAGAAGGAGAAGAAGAAGAAATGCTGGAAACGATGGCTTGAATCAATCTCTCAACTCACCAGAAAAAATTGCTAAACCCAAGAACAAGGATACAAACACCAGTGAATTTAACAGCACCAGCTAAGTCGGTATCAAAATCTCGGATTAATTGAGGGAACATAGGGGCCAAAGCTAGGGGGCCAAATGCTTGCGTAAACGTTACTGCTGTTGAGAGAAACATTGCAGTCGCTTTCCAGAAAGGGCTCCAATTCTATTTTGTCAGCAAAATATCATTATTTCCAGTTCCAGCGGGATGAAAACGGCCGTGATATCCAGCGTATCCACAAAGAGTACACTCACCAAGGGATCGCTGGGATTATTAGAAGGCTGTGGGACCAAGACACGATCTGAACGCTTAGACGACTTGACAAAATGATGGGAGCCAACATCTGTCATAATCTCCGTGCCAGGGTAGATCCTGGTGTCCAACTCCTTCTCAATCCTAAACAAGGTTAAGTCAGTGACGAATGGTAAACATATTAATCATCTCCAATGTGTCAAACTGACTGCCGGAGGGCCTAGATATGGAGGATGATATTAGTACACATCTCTTTTCCCAGTTTGGTTGGATAATATGAAGTGAAAATTTGTCCTCAGAGCTAATATCTGGAATAATAAGGCACCGAATCAAATATATATATATGAAAATTTCAACCTACCTCTTCATCATTGTTCATCTCCATTTTCGACGCAACGAAAACCGGAAAACTATGTAGTAAACAGACCCAAATCGAAGACGTGCAGCCAAACCAAATATAGGGCTCGGCAAGTAATGTAACCTCAAGTTATTGAATCCAACCCATTGATGGGTTGGTCCTCCTTGGTTCTTGGGGGTAAACGGTTTGTTCAGATAAGGTAGAGACGAAGAGGATGGGGCGACGACCAAGTGGATTTCACGGATAGCTTTAAGCAGTATATATAGATGCTCTCCGCTGCGACTCTGGAGATTGGAAGGAGAGGTGGCGCGGCAATGAAAGCCCTCTACCATTCCACTAACTTAGCTTGTTTAGGATGCAGTCGTTATTGGTAGAAACGGGGCTTCTAAATTTGTCTCTGCATTGAGTATGACAGGATGATTGTTTCATTGTTGGCATTACTCTGACACAGGGGCATACGATTGCACCCATGGACAGAACAAATCACCTTCATGAGACAGATGCCAATCATCACTGTAAAGCAGTTCGGGGCAGCACAGTACCTGAGGATGTGCGGGGTATCTTTTGCACCATACTCGTATAATTCAGGTAACCGCTGTCTGCTAGATGCGAAAGTGGCAGACTTCTGATTAGGTTGAGAAGCAATCCTGCACAGTCAGAGACTATCGATCTGTCTCACGGATCAGGTCAGATCAGCCCGACATCAATGGATTTCTCATGCAACTTCCCAGCATTATTCGGTGCTTCTCCTAATCCTTCATTGGCTAGAGTCAAGAACAAATGTTAAATATGACACGCGTAAACAACAACAGCTGCTGCAACTCGCTGCTTGTTGGGAGTGCATACAGCACATTCGGTCCAATCCAAAGGGCTTGGGCTAGCTGGAACTCGCAACATGACATTCTTGGACAATGTCAATTTCCGAGAAAGCCCCTTTGATGCCACGCTTGATTCGACCTGTTGAGCATAAAACATCCTGTTATAGGTGTCTTGAGATGGGCGATACCAGCTCAAGGATTGACCTTTTTGGCGCAGAGGTTCATTAGCTCCTTATTAAAAGCTCGTCATGACCCACTCGCCTCGTCTCTCTGAATGACCCCATTCCTCTATATCTCCGCTCGCATTCGATGGCTTGGAAGGCCGGTTTGTTAGCCGGGTTCGGCACACAAACTCGGCAACTTTTGGGAGATCGACGCTTGAGAGTCCTTGGGGGTTAAATCCGATATTATGCAGCAGGGGTGAACAGGGCTGAGGATAAGGACCACAATTGGCGATATTGTGGCTCTTCTTCATGATCACCATCAGCGGAATGCCAGGCTGGAAGTGGAGCAAAGACGTGGATCATGGATGGGGCCAAATTTATAGTTATAGGTGGGTCAGGTTACAGTGTGTTTGAACCCAACCCTCACAATAACCTGGTTATATGTGGAGGCACAGTCACTCAGCCATCAATGCCACTGTATATAACCTGGTTATTGCTGATGTGTGTTTAATTTCATATTCATATATACAGAATACTTGTATTTAGTAAGAGAAATACTATTAAATTCAGATATATATGACTTTGTATATAGAAAGTTATATAATCACTAATTAAATAATCTATTTGATTTCATCTCTACTAAAGAGCTATTAATTTCAGATACTGTGTAGAAGTATAAATCAACTATCTGAGTATTATACACAGCTTATACAACTAAATCTAACTCTATAATAATAATGAAGAAATGAAGATTAAAAAGAGATAGAATAGAATAGAATAGAAAAATAAAAGCTTTATATATACTCTATTCAATAAAAATAAGATTATTCTATATATTAGACTGAGTATTATAATTCACATCATCTGCTGCTGATATTTATAGCTGTGATGATTATTTATTATAAAAATTATTATATATATCAAATTAATCTACAGAGCTGTAGAGAAAGCAATATACTGTATAATTATATTATTTATAATTAATATATATTTTTTCAAAATAATTATATATACAGTAGTACAATGAGAATAATTTAAATTTAGAGAATATATAATACTGTGTACAGTCTGTGACAAGAGTTCTATTATAAAATTAAATTAGAATAATATTTATATATAATAAATAATAAAACAATACTTAATTAGCTCTGATATATATATAAATATATAATATATTAAAATTAGAGATAGTAAGCAGAGTATAAAATTAAGAACTATAACAAAATATACTCAGCTGAGAATTATTGATATATATTATATTATACTCTAATTATTTCTATTATTTATCTTGATATTCAGCAGCTGAATGATATGAGTCAATCAATTCAATTTAAATCAGATTTCACTAAATGATAACAGAATTATATAAAATAAAAACTTTTATATTATAATCAGCTTTCTATACTGTACAATAGAGAAGCAGAAAAGTATTTATATTATTTATAAAGAAGAAAGAAGAAAGAAAAGAAATACTATTGAAAAATAGAAGAAAGTTGATTTTTTTTTTTATAAAAAAAAAAAATCAAAAATCTTCTCTGATTATATATATAAGTCTCTGTCAGTGTTTTTTTTCTTTGATATAATAAAATAAATATTTCATACAGTGTATAAAGTGAAAAAAAGATAGAATAAACAGTGAATAAATGATTTTAATAAATTTCAATAAAAGAATGATAAATTCTAATATAAAAGAAGTTGTATATACTGATGAATGATAATAAAAAAGCTGAAGAGAGAAAGAGAAAAAAAGTTGAGAAAAAAGATAGAAAAAGAAGTGTGACGGGTTAGCACCCGTTAGTAGTTAACTTACGCAACCAACCCCCTATCGCCCGTTCGCCCTCTCACGTGCTCTCGCGTACCTACGAAACGCCCCTCTCCTCGCGATCCCGCTCCGCGCTCGCGTAGTCTCTAACGATTCCTCCGCGTAACCCCTAACATTCTTCCGCTCCGCGCTCCACTGCAGCGCGACCCCCGATATTCTTCCGTCCCGATCCTCCTTCTATAAGAACCCCCTCGTACGACCCCTTCTTCTGATCTTCTTTCTCTTTCTTTCCTTAATCGATTCGTAAACTGTTACCAGGATAGTGTCAAGTCCGTTGATATTGCCGTTGGAACGGATCGTACGAACTGCGCAGGCGGTACGAACGGTTTAATCTGCAACATCGGTAACATCTGCTTAATCGGTGGCACGCCCGTCACATTACGAATCGATTCATCTGTGTCGGCCCGAGTGCCCCGTGTTTACGATCGCACCTAGGTGCCCAAGTTAAAGTTTAAGAATAAGTTACCCAAGTCCTACGAAGCCGCACCACTGTGATAGTGCTGCGAAGAAGCCCGAGTGCTTAGAAGTCCACAACCGCGTGTCTGTGAAGAGGCCAGAGTGCCTACGAAGTATTTCCTCCAAAAAGAATAAGAACTGAACCTCCTGGTCTCCAAGTTACCAGGACCAAGAACCATGGCCTCGTACGAAAACGAGATGAATTACGAACACCCCTACGAACACCCTTCCGCGGGCGAAAACCGAAACCTCGCAGAAGACAACGCTGAACTCCGTAGCTTCCTCCAGCAGCAATCCCTGCAGATGGCGGAGCTCCAGCGACAACTGAATAACCTGAATACGAATACACCAAGAACCACGCAAGCACCAACACCCCTTATGTACGAAAGAAGAGAACGCCTCCCTCTCCTCGACAAATTCGCGGGAGAACTCTCGACCTACTTAGCCTGGAAATGGAAGGCGAAAGCCAAGCTTGAAGAAGATGGGCCTGTGATAGGCTCTCTGCTCTCGCAAGCTCGCTATGTTCATAGTCGGCTAGAAGGAGATGCTCTAGCCAAGTTCCAACCTTGGATCGAGTCGTGCGCGCACGAGATGTGCACCCCTGAAGAAGTCTTCCGCCAACTAGATGTCCTGTTCTTGGACCCTACACTCCAAGCGCGCGCGATGCAATGGTTGAACAGGAACCGCCAGAGGAACACACCACTGGCGAACTATCTACCCGACTTCGACAGCAAGATACGCGAAGCAGGAGGTCAGGACTGGGACGATGCTGTCAAGATCAACCTCCTGAGCCAGCATATTAGCTTTGAACTGCTCAAGCTCTGCACCTCGCACCTCATGCCCACGCGTTACCATGACTACTGCACCCACTTACGCCAACTCGACAACAACCTCGCACGCTTCCATGCTGTCCAAGGAAGACGTAACAATTATAGGCAGAACTACACGCCTACTAACGCGCCAACTGCACCAGCTGCCCCTGCGGACGCCATGGATTGGACCCCTCATGTGAGCACAGGACGACCAAAGATACCTGGCCTCTCTGGACGAGAAGTTACTGATCGAATCGCCCGAGGCGTCTGCATTCGTTGCAACAAGCCAGGGCACTTCGCAAGCCAGTGCACCAATGCAGTAGTTCCTGCCTCTACGCCGCGAGTGAACACAACTACGCCCACGAATGAACAAGGACAGGGAAAAGAAGAGCTCTCGCCCTAAAACGCGGACGAGAGCTCAAGGAGCAAGAAGCTAGCTGGAGGTTTGAGCAGAAGATGCAAGCGGACGCAATCATGGTCCCTGCCATTGTAAATAGCCTAGTCAACGTACGCGCAATGGTAGACAGTGGTTTCCTTCACTACGCTCTTATAAATACCCAGCTAGTAGAAAAGCATAAGCTCCAGCGTATCCCTTTCCCTGAACCGCGTAAGCTCAGTGGATTCGACGGCCCCAGAGGATCCGCCTCCTACAACATGGTAAGATTTAATGTCGATGTAGGAGGGCACGAGAAAAAGAACGTTTACGCATACGAAGTGCAGGACCTTGAGTACGACTTAATGCTCGGCCTGTCATGGCTTACGGAATTTGGAACCTTGTTAGACGCACGCAACCGTTGTCTTATTTTCCCAGGAAGCGACCGCGTCTATGAGAAGGATGTCGATAGGACTGCTGATCTCACTCAGATATCGGCAGAAGCGTTCAAGCTATTAACCCGCCAAGCGCGCGAGAAGAAGAACGTCCAAGTGTTCGCTGCTAGTATG